TAAGTTCTTTTGTAGAACGGGCCCCAGATTATTTAATAGTCAGTTTACTAATGTGATGTTTATGGTTACACATATATTTTTTATAAATAAGGAATTGTGTGTGACTTTTTATTTAATTACAACTATATGATTTCAAAGACATGTAATGTAGACATTTAAGATTATGAAAGCAGATGATATTTGCAGGTCATTATCTCTGTGCAATTTTAAAATCAAGTTTTACATCTTTAGGTTGCAATTGCTTCCAAGTTGGTAAATCGTCACCGTTTGGGAGAAGAGAGTATTGTTGTCATGTCTTTCTACACAGAACAGTGTGCTTTGATTTCTAAAAAGCTCCAACAAAAGGGACACAAAAATATCTCTGTTTGTACAGTGGAAAGTTGTCAAGGTATGCAATCCAGTACATAAACTTTATACTATAAAACACCCTTATAGCAAAGTGCCAAAGACAAACTTAAAACTGGGATATTAATCATTCTACACATTATATCAAAAGATCAACCCTGATAAGTTTATTATACATTTCTAAACTAGGGGGATTGAAAATAACTTCACTGTAATTGTGAATTCATTATAAGCGTATTTACTGTATTTTACTGTATTATTTGACATCAGTTAATTTGGTATTCTTTCCAGGATGTAATTGTGACAGGCAAATTGCTCTATAAATGCTTAGCCAATTTACTGTCAATGCATTTAATTCATAGTATGATGGTTTGTTTCAATGCCTTTCTGTATTATATTTTTTTTTTCACAGGAAGGGAATGGGATAATGTAATTCTGTCCACTGTAAGGACAATGCCCGGCCACAAAGTAGAACTTAGGTCCACCACTCAATGGAAGGAACAGCACCTTGGTCATTTGATAAATCATAGCCAGGTCAGTCAAGCACTGACCAGAGCTAAGAAACGGCTCACTATTTTAGGTAAGTATTAACTAGCATACTGGGTTTTACAAAATCTAAATTAATCAGTAATTTAGAAAGAGGAAGTTTAAAGTCAAAATTATTAAAATTTGATTTTTAGCAACATGATGAGAGAAGCTTTAGTAGTCAGTACTAGGTCAAAACAATTTAATGAGGGAAGTCTGAATAAATGTTTTTATAATATTTCTAAGAGTTGTACATGTAGATTTGAATATTGATTTAATTTTTCCTTGACAGGAAATGATAACTTGTTGAAATGTGATGCATTCTGGGAGAACTACCTTCAGTTGTGTCAGAGTAAAGGGCAAGTTTTAGATGGTAGACAGTATTTGAAATGGATGAATTAAACACTTGTAACATAACAGAGTTGCATTGGATGAACTGCATTTAAGAATTATAGAAATGTTAAACATTATGTAAAAAGATTTGAACTTAGATGCTTCTTATGTAGCTTTTCTTTATTATATTCAACATGTATAATATACGTTGTTTTATTTGAACTTTAAAGATTGTTAAAACAGTGATTGTGCTTTATTTCAGTATTTATATACATATGTACAAATATTAGTGCATGCATAGCTTACATTGTTTTTTTAGTTATAGTTAATTTGTAATATTGATCCGTTTTCCTTGGATTTTATGTCATTTATAAATGTATAACATATTCAGAGATATCATTAATGGAAAGATAGTGATATGAAATGGTTACGGGGGTATAATTAAGAAATATATGTCTTAAGTAGATCATCTTAAAGGCATATTGGAGGGACATGAACATACACATGTAAATACAGGTTACAGACACCACACATTTGTATTGAATTATAGACATCTGTTTTCATTATAAATCTACCCATGTTCAAATGTTCAATTTAGTCAAATGTTCATGTAATTTTTAATTCATATACATGTATTTATATGTACATATATATGTTCATGTACACTAATCTGAATAGTATGTTGACTTAACCTGTTACACTTTTTATTAAATAACAATTTCACTTTGATTTGAATTTCTAAAACTTGTTATAAAATGTATAATAAATGTAACCAGGGATTTGATTTTGAAAACAGTCAGGAAAAATATAAGGACATTTAAGCATGGGTAGCAATTTTTGTAATATGGCTGCAACATTTGTATTTTAATATCTACTTGTTTGTTTATTCTTTTTGTTTGTTTATATACATGTACACTTGTCTAATTCCTGATGAATTGTATATTGCCTTCCATATTATAAGCTACATATTTATAATATTTGATTTAGTCTTGAACACAATAATATTTGGGAATTACCTGAGTCAAAATCCTCAGTGCTTAGTTATATATAAAATCTTTGATTTATACAGTATGTTTAATACTTTGACTTTGTCAAAACACAGTTACATTTATAAGATAGGCTTAAATTTTCAGCATGTACATTTTTTGTAATCTTTAATGCATTTTGAGATGGGGGGGGGGGGGGGGATCCCCCTCCCCAAGTGATGTGGTGAAGGAAGTGATTTATGTTTGGATATTAGAGACAGTTTTGTCTGTAAATGAACTGTAAACTTTTTCATGGAGTGAGAAATATTTTTGTAACTTTTGTTGTTGAATGTTTAATGTGGCTTTATTTTCAAATAGAATTATAAGTAAAGTACAATCTTGTTCTCCTTTCTTTTGATATTAAAAAAGAACTTGATCAAATATGGGTTATTTATAAGGTGGGATAAGACTAAGTGTGATTGATATTAGTCTTGATGATCTTCTATTTGATAAAATTTTTATTGTTGAAGAAATCTTATGAAATTGTGTGTGTATGCAAAAATATAAAGTATTCACTTATAAGATGGATCAATTTCCTAATGGCAGTCTAGGAAACAGACAACACTCTCCTGAGCATGCATCCCTCAGTCTAAATGACTTTCATGAGCAACTACTTTCATACTTGAGACCTTATTAGACTAAAGCCCCCAAAATAGGAAGTTAGCACATTGAATTTTAAAAATTGCAGGAATCAGTAAGTGAACATTTAACATAATGAATGATATAAAAGATGTATGGAGAATATATATATATATCACATTGTAAAAACAGTCATTTGAAAACATGCAATGTTTAAGAAGTTTGAGAATTAAACCTTTTAAGAACACCTTTTCAAAATTTGGCTAAATCTACAAGTAAAGCACGTGTACACATCATATCGCAAAAAAATATGTTTGGATTCTGAGAACATTTGTATCTCGAACACGGATATCTCGAATACCATGGATATGTTGAAGTGATTTTGAAGTCCCAAATGTTTATTTCTCAAGTATTTTACTCCTGGATATCTCTGATATCTCGAAGAATTTTCTTGGTTCTTTGAAGTTCGAGTTAACAAGGTTTGACTGTATAATGGGTACATACAGGACAGAGAAACCAAAGTGACTGTATTTTCAAATTCAAACCTATTCTTTCTGATTGCCAGCCAGAGAAATGATACATCTGTTACATGACACTTTTGGTGAAGTGATCGAACTGTGACAAAGATATACCTTTGTGACTTTATATTGGTTTTAGGTGTGGCAGTCAGGTGGGTTTTCTGAGGTCAAATGGCTTACAAGTCCCAGTCATTTGGTAGAGCACCTGACAAGAGGTCAGGGGGTCTTTGTTTTAATTTTATTTATTTTGGTGCATTTTTCCTTATCGCAAAGATGTTTTGCATTCTTGCAGTTGCCTTATTACCAGTATATGCAGGCTATAGTATATAAATATTCTGAGAATATAAAGAATGAAATTTATTAATTTTATAAACAATGGTAGTGTAGATTTTTCCTTTCGATAGCTGATTGAAATAGGAACAATTACTTTAAGAATCAAACAAATGCTAAATTTACTTATCAAAGTTCGACAATATGAATATATCCGCTAGCTAGAACATATAGTAAAAAAGCAATCGGATGTTGAATACTGTTACATATATATTCATTTACAAACTGGTCATGGTAGCCAAGTGGTACGGGCTGCTTGCTTCATGATCTGGAGGTCCCAGGTTCGATTCTCGTTCCAGTTGCTGTGTCATACTTAAGATATTTTAATGTAGGTAGTGGCTGTTCCTTTGCCAAGCACCCAGCACTATCGAAGTGAAAGTCAAAGGTGAAAAATTAAACGGGACATCAAACAACAAAATCATTTACTATGAAATCTTAAACGAAGATAATGAAGTTTCTAAAGGCCCATGGGCCACAATGCTCAAGCCAAATTTTCTTGGGAAGAATAACTTTAAAAATCCCCCCCCCCCTCTCTCTATTACATGAAAAAACTTTCATTCCCTACTATGGCCCCACCTCACCCACCCATGTGGTCATGACTCAAACAAATGTGAATCTGCATTACCTGATGATGCTTGCAGTTCTGTGTCACTAATGATGGCCTTGTTGCTCTGTAGAAGAAGAATTTAAAAGATTTTTTTCTAATATTCCCACATCAAAATTTTGTTCCCTATTGTCACCCCACCCTACCCCCTAGGGTCATGATTAGAACAAAATTGAATCCGTTGTACCTGGATGATGATGCTGTGCTTATCTATCGATATTATGAAACCCTTTCATTGAGAAGTATTCCCATGTAAAACTTTAATTCCTATTGTTGCCCCACCCTGCTCCCTGATGCCATATGATTTGAAGAATTTTGATCCATATTTATCAAAATATATATGCATCTTTCACTTATAAACACACCTTTTCTGACCCAGTGGTTCCTGTGTAGCTTTAATTATCTCCCTTGGGAAGTGGGCATGGTTCTTCATTGAACAACTTTTAATCACCTTCATCCAAGCATATCTGTGCCAAGTTTGTTTGAAATTGGCACTGTGGTTCTGGAAAATCTTTTATCAAAACCTTTGGCTCAGGCGAGCCAATAATAGAAGACAATAATCATAATAAAGAAATGATGCATTTGTATCATATTCATTTGGATCAGTATCATCTAATTTATTTCTCTGAAGATGAAAAAGTCGGTTATTTCAAATTGCGAATTGCATGGAAAGCGTAAACTTGTAAATATGTGACCTTTGGCAATTCTGGGCTGTCGTAATCCTTCAGAATCTAGACCCCATCACTAGGGGGCGCTTGAGTGCTGTCGTGTCAAGTATGGCTGCTCCCGCAGAAAGCATGACTGAAGAGAGTCCTACTGAAGATGTCCTTCCTGAGAAAACTTATACAGTAGAAGGTAAATTTATTGAAATATACATAAGAACTTTTTATATGCTAATGGGATACATTGTTAATTTGTGTGAGTCTGTTATATAATGGCGGAATAGCAGGCAGACAGGAGAAATGATCTGGCACCGGTGGTTGTTGTCCATCTGTGAAACAGCAACTGCAGTCCGCAGTTGTTCATAAAATGTCATTCTGTATTGGGAGGCTATGTTTTAGCATTTTTTTTTTACAAAGAAAATATATGTAGGTTGAATCCAACGTCGGGGGAGTTGACTTCGAAGTGAAATGTACACACTTTGTCCTCCATATGTTACTACTAACTGTGGTTTTGTTCCTGTCAAGTTGAATGTAATACATATTGACTTTGTGAAGTATTTAAAAGTAGACAGCTTCATTATTTAGCTGTGCTTTTATTTCCTTTGGAATTAGGTGTCAAGGAATTTTTTTTTGCAAACAATATAATTTCAAATTTGATGCATTTCACATGTATGCTTCATAATTCAGTAAACTTTCATCATATTGTTCACATGCTGGTTTTATTGGAAGTTGCACTGATGAATCAAAGTTATTATTTGAAACGTCCTGCTGTGTTTAATTTGTTACAGATTAATTTGTGATATTTTGGTTTAAATATGATACATGTATAATGAACGAAGTATACTGTTTACAGTAAGTATGACATTGCATCTCTGCAATCTCATAATGACTATTCCACAAATCTTCACGAAAGAAATATTTTAAAAAATATATAACTTTGTGTTTGGGACATTGTTGCATTAATTAACATTTATATGTCATATAAATATTCAACAGATTTAAATTTCCCTAAAGCGACGACCATGACAAATGTTTTTAGACTAAATGATGGCAGACAGAATATTTTGTTCAAGTTTTCAGTGAATTCAGTTCACATCTGACAAAATTTCTGTTTGAAACGAAAAAAAAAAAAATGCATTTATAGGAAAACAGCATTTGGAAAACATTTCTTGTAATGTTACTCAAAATCTAAGCTTGCTACCTTTCTGTACCGGTATTTCAGGCTCTTTTTTTTTTTTTTGAAGACATGTAGGATGAATGGAATTATTTTAAATTATTTATGTAACTGAGAAAAAAAAGGGGTTCATGCTTCCCTTTGACGCAGGAAAGGAGAAAATGTATGGATGGACCAAGAATCAAACCCGGGACTTTTCCATCACTAGTCTGGTGCTCTACTGACTGAGCTATTCAGGCTGATATCCAATGGCACTAAATTATGTAACATGAAAGGAGAAAATGTGAGGCTGGACTGGGAATCGAACCCAGGACCCCTGCATCATTAGTCAGGTGCTCTAGCAACTGAGCTACCCAAGCCGATATCCAAGACTCAAACCATTATATTAAAAAAAAAGAGCCTGAATTGGCCTGTACTATAATCAAAATTGATTCTGCTATGAAATTAAACACAATTTATACATAGAATATAAGAAATTTTGTATGCACCCTGCAATTACAAGCTCATACTCTGAAGCCATTGATAGACATGCAGTGGGATTATTTTTTATTGCAGTTTTACAATTAGTAAAAGAAGCCCAGCAGCAACATGGTATGAGGCATGGAGATTTCCAGAGATACAGGTAAAATAAAATGATTATTTCATTATTATGCCCCCACCATAAAATGGCCAGGGGCACATAGTGTTACCCTGTTCCATCATTCTGTCATTCCATCATCATTGACTTTCTGTTCATTATCTCTGCAACAGTTGGACACATTCAGCTCAAATTTGACATGTGGATACGTCATAGGAATATGCAGGTCAAGTTTGACTTTGGTCATGGTCCGATGATTTTTGACAGAGTAATCCCTCTTGAACTTGAAAAAATAAGAAATTTGCAGTTTCCACTCTTTAACTATTGTAGGGATGTATGTATAAGGTTGAAATTGCATATGCAGGTATTTTACCAGAAAATACAGATCAATTTTGAATTTGGTCGTTGTCCAATGATTTTTGACAGAGTTATCCCTCTTGAACTTTAAAAAAAAAAAAAATCAGAAATTTTCAGTTTCTGCTCTCTTACTTATCAAGATAGCATTCAAATTTATTTTGAAATTTAGCAAATCCATTATTTATACCAGAGATAATATAGCATTCATATATCAATAATATCAGATATGTGTCATACATTTTACAACTCTTTTCCTAAATAGTGAATTAAATTAAAATTGACATGCAGTGTACAAACATAGAAAATTGTTTGCCCTAGTTCTTTTTCACTTTGACTCTGTTTGCTTGAATTCTTGTTTGCCTTAAGTCTATTCGCCCCATTTTAAGGTTAAATAAGTTTGACTGTTTATTTTGAAAATCTTGTTTTATTTTATTGAATTACATTAATTCTTTTGAACTCTGCACTGTGAAGACTTTTGGACTTCACAGGATTTGATCACAAAACCAACCAAGTTCATTTCCCAGTGAACTTTTTAACCTTGTTATTTATTTCTTAATTAAACCACAACAATTTAACATCCACAGAAATTTATACCCATTGCAGGATAGGTATTTTCAAGATAATTTATTTTCCTAAAATCTTACTTTGTTCCCCCAAATTTACAGGAGTTACTGCTCTAGAAGAATCAGAAGAATTAGAAAATCTTTGCATTTCCCTCAGGGAAGCAAACACAAAGTACAACCAAAGAAAATCACAGTAGAGAAGCTAACTGATGTGAGGTGAGAAATAATAGACTTATGTAGAATCCAGCATTAATAATAGACTTGTGTAGAATCCAGTATTTTATTATCCTCTTGCCATTTGTGCTAGTTATGTACTTGTAACTTTTGGATTGCGGTAGTGTTCCATAGACATTCTGTAATTTTGATAACACACATATATTCATCACTGAAGACGATAGAGATAATAAAAGAAGGGAAAAAATTGCTGGAATGCATTTTTCATGCAATTAAACATTTTATAATTACATGTGTATGTAATGTTTGCAAAATGTGTTGCACATTTTGAATATTTCATTAATCACAAGTTGAATGATTTTTTTGTATCCTGTTGATTTTTTTGTATCCTGTGACAGGTATCTACATTTACCTTTGTTCTGTGCTGAGAGGGCCTGGTATTATGCCATGCAGCTGAAGTCTGAGGCAAACACAGAGCCCCGCAAAAAATTCCACATGTTAGCTCGGATCAAGAAGGCTCTGATGTATGCTGAGGAATTTGCTTCTCTCTGTAGTAGTCCAAAATGTGATGCTAGGACCAAGCTGGAAAGCCAGGTCTGTTTACCATCTAAAGTAGGATTTGAACACCTGAACACCGGAAGTTTACACGAGTTTTGTTGTTACTTATATTTACAAGGCATAAAGTAAATTTTAATACTGAGTAAATAATCTTATGTAACATTCTTTCCACTTTAGGCATATTTATCACTGTTAAAAGGAGGGTTGTATTTTGAACAAGAAGACTGGAAGGCAGCAATGGAGTTCTACACAAAAGCAAAGTGAGTTCTTGTTTGTAGTACAAAGTTAATGTACCTACTAATAGACTGTTTATCCTGCTTCATACAAATTTGTAGATTACTGATTGGCTAAAAGCTAATCACATGACACCCTGAAATTTTCCTTATTACGTCTTCGTCCGGGGTAGTATTAAATCGGGCACCCTATTCCGTTTGAAGCGTCATTATTCTAACTAAAATAGGAACTAAGAAATGATTTATTAACTTGTTATGATATTTTATGTTGAATGTAAATGGATTAGAATTTGATATTTTGATAATATGCTCATAAAACTTGATATTTTGATAATATGCTCATAATTTTTTTTTTTTTGGGGGGGGGGGGATATTTAAAAAAGGTCTTCAACTAGATAAATTTGTTACACAGTCAGGGACCTAGTATGGAGTCGTGCAGGGTGTGAAATGGAAATCCATATTGAGACTCGGCTTCACCTCATCCAATACGGATTTCCATTTCACACCCTGTATGATTCTGTATTAGGACCTTAACTGACTGTGTAACGAATAATATGTATCTCCAGTAAGAATTTAACAAGTGTTTTGTATTATTTGTATTTGTCTGATTAATCAGTTCTATTTTACAGGACCATTTATGAGAAGCTGGGCAGTGCTTTTACAGAAGATATCCAGCAGTTATATCTACAACAGGTGGAGGAAATAACCCCCAATCTACGCTACTGTGCTTATAATATAGGGGACCAGTCAGCTATAGACGAGTTAAAGGAGCTCAGAAGGAAGGGTGGAGAGGACCAGCTGACATCTCATCTCGATGTATGTATTAAACCTCATAGAATTCTTTTTTAGGTCACCTGAGTCACTCAGGTGACCTATTGCTATCTGTTTTTGTCCGTCGTCTTCCGTTGTGCGTTAACTTTTGAACATTTTTAACTTCTTCTCTAGAACCGCTCAACCAATTTCAACCAAATTTGGTATATAGCATCTATGGGTGAAGGGGAACAAAAATTGTGAATTTCATGGTCCCTGCCCCCCTGGGGCCTGAGGGGTGGGGCTAAAACCACCAAAAATAATGCAATCTTTTAAAATCTTCTTCTTTACTCCTGGACATCAAGCAGTCAAACTGTTGGCATCATTGTAATAAGCATTGGGCCCTCTACCAAAATTGTGAAATTCATGGCCCCAGGGTCAGGGGTTCTGGCCCCAGGGTGGGGCTATATAGATCATATAGTGAAAGTGCATTATTTCTTTGAAAATCTTCTTCTCTGCTCCTGGGTATTATATAAAGTTACTAAGTACATAGTTATGATGAGCAAGAGTGCCTCTTCCAAAATTGTGAAATTCATGGCCCCAGGGTCAGGGGTTCTGGTGTTAGGGTGGGGCTCTATAGATTATATAGTGAAAATGCATTAATTCTTTGAAAATCTTCTTCTCTGCTCCTGGGTATTTAATAAAGTAACTAAGTACATAGTTATGATGAGCAAAAGTGCCTTTTCAAAAATTGTGAATTTCATGGCCCCAGGGTCAGGGGTTCTGGTGTTAGGGCGGGGCTCTATTGATTATATAGCGAAAATGCATTAATTCTTTGAAAATCTTCTTCTCTGCTTCTGGATATTTAATAAAGTAACTAAGTACATAGTTATGATGAGCAAGAGTACCTCTTCCAGAATTGTGAATTTCATGGCCCCAGGGTCAGGGGTTCTGGTGTTAGGCGGGGCTCTATCAACTATATAGTGAAAATGCATTAATTCTCTGAAAATCTTCTCCTCTGCTCCTGGGCATTAAGGTGATAAACTAAGTACATAGTTATGATGAGGAGGTGGGCTTCTTCCAGAATTGTGAAAGCCATGGCCCCTGGGTCAGGGGTTCTGGTGTTAGGGCGGGGCTCTATTGATTATATAGTGAAAATGCTTTAATTCTTTGAAAATATTCTTCTCTGCTACTGGAGACTATTTAAACAAACTAAGTGCATGGTTATGATGCATAAGGATGCCTTTTCAAAAATTGTGAATTTCATGGCCCCAGGGTCAGGGGTTCTGGTGTTAGGGTGGGGCTCTATTGATTATATAGTGAAAATGCATTGATTCTTTGAAAATCTTCTTCTCTGCTACTGGAGACTATTTAAACAAACTAAGAGCATGGTTATGATGCATAAGGATGCCTTTTCAAAAATTGTGAATTTCATGGCCCCAGGGTCAGGGGTTCTGGTGTTAGGGTGGGGCTCTATTGATTATATAGTGAAAATGCATTGATTCTTTGAAAATCTTCTTCTCTGCTCCTGGGTATTATTTAAACAAACAAAGTGCATGGTTATGATGCATAAGGATGCCTTTTCAAAAATTGTGAATTTCATGGCCCCAGGGTCAGGGGTTCTGGTGTTAGGGCGGGGCTCTATTGATTATATAGTGAAAATGCATTGATTCTTTGAAAATCTTCTTCTCTGCTCCTGGGTATTATTTAAACAAACAAAGTGCATGGTTATGATGCATAAGGATGCCTTTTCAAAAATTGTGAATTTCATGGCCCCAGGGTCAGGGGTTCTGGTGTTAGGGCGGGGCTCTATTGATTATATAGTGAAAATGCATTGATTTTTTGAAAATCTTCCTCTCTGCTACTGGAGATTATTTAAACAAACTAAGTGCATGATTAAGATAGACAAGGATGCCTCTTCCAAAATTTTTAAATATATGGCCTCAGTTTTTGGGGTTCTTGAGGAGGGGGGAGGGCTCTATTGATTATATAGTGAAAAAGCATTAATTCTATTAATTAATCATTAATTAATCCTGTCTGCTCCTTAGTGTTGAGCTGATAAATAAATTGCTTCGCTATGATGAAAATGGGAGCTTCGAACAGAATTTTTAAATCTAATCTTGTCGTCCTAGGGTCAGAGGTTCTGGCATAATGGGGGGGGGGGAGCTTTTGATAATATAGTGGAAAAGTGTTAATTCTTTGAAGTCCATAGTTATGATGATGAGGGTAACTCTTCCAAATTTGTAAATTTCTTAACCCTTGGTCTTGGGTTCTGGTGTTAGGGTAAGGCTTTGTTGAATCTATAGTGAAAATGCATTGTACCTGTGAAATTCTTCTCTGCTTCTGGGCATATCGGAAGCAAACTGAGTAAAAGTTTAAATGATATGAGTAAGCATATTTCTACCAGATTTTTAAACATCTGGACCATTCGTCTAAGCATTCTGGTCCTGGGCAGGGCTCTATTAATTTGTATTCTACTGAGAGAAGTTATTCCCCTTTTCCGTTCACCTTTGATAATTAATCACTGTAAATAATGTATTTGAAAGGTTAATAGAATAAGATAATTATGCAAGAATGTTTATCGTATAATTCAAAAAGTACTTTCTTAGTTTTAATAATCAGGTAGACCTGTAAGTAATAGATAAATAAAAATGAGACAAAAATAACTTATCTTATTAAAAGTTCTTCAAAGACCATAAGAGAGGTCAATGCAAGAGGTCTTGATATGGGTTTAAAAATAGTACAGAAGCACTAATAGTTTGTTAATAGTCTGCATGGTGATAGTGTTAAGTGGGGGACAGATTAGAGCTTAATTTATGAGTTGATACTGAATACTAGACTAATTAATTTGTTGATCCTGATTTTCCTACTTCTCTTGCTTTAGGGCAACAATGCTTCATCTATCAGTGTATTTAACTTCTAAATTGTTGTATTATACTCAGGTGACCGTTAAGGCCCTTGGGCCTCTTGTTTTATTACAAAGTTTGCTTAGTAAAAGAAATGTGAACAACGATGTGAATTGTTGCTATCTTCAATTTTAGAATCAATAGAATTGCTGTCAAACAATTATTTTCATTTCAGGATCTTCTCTCTCAAACCAGAGAAAAACAGACAGCAACTCTGTCTGAGGTCAAGTGGCAGGGTCGTACAGTGCCGGTGAAGAATGAACCAGTGAGAATATTTCTATTGAATCTACAGGACAGCACCAAAGAGATCACATCAGCTGAAGGTGTTGATAGCAAAATATCTATCTATGAAAGTGTACTAAAGCAATGTATTGATGCTCAACAGGTGTTACGGGACAGTCTGCAGGATGATCAGGTAATAAATTCTTCTGTTTATGAAATCAAGTTCACAGTTTTCACTCTTACCTGGTATTGTTGATGGTATATTATGTATTGTTGCGCTGACTTGTTCCTGGTCATTAGAGAACTGTGTGTTTTATTTCAGAATTTTAAATTGGCCATAAGAGGACAAGAAATAGAAGGCAAAATATCCAATCAGCACTACCTACATACCTACCTTACCTTTATAAGACTGAGTAAAACAATAGAACGTAACCTGCTACTGATAGAGCAATTAAAGGATTACCTACCAGGCAAGAAAGTGGAGGAGGGGCACAAAATCACAAAGCCTCAGGATTTAGTACGACTATATGACATCATTATACAGGTAATTGAGACTTGTGTGTTGCAGGAATGTTTCCATCGGACATGTTATTAAAGCATGTTTAAATACTTGTTTTATCTGAAAACTTATCAAAACTACAAATTTCAGGTGTGTTTGATTGTCATAGATTGTCACACTTTCATAAACATAACTCAATCTTTATATTTAAGAAAAGTGGGAAATCTCAGTGTATTGATAAAAGACACTAAAACTATAATTAAGAAAAGTCAGAATAGAAATGTAAGAAAGAAAACCAACACACCTGGTAAACATAATAATATCAACTGTGTCTATGTAAATCCTGGATACATGCTGTATGTTTTAAAATCTCTGATATATAATACATGTATTTTCATATATAACATGTTTTATGTCTTTCTTTCATTAATTATCATATTCATAATTTGTAAGGAGTGTGCCTAATTATGAAAATAATAGCTTGAGATAATCTTAATGTAATAAGCATGCTATATTACTTGTAGAATTTGAATGAGATCCCTAACTTGACGGGGGTGGAGGGAGATAGCAGTCTCTCAGAGGAAACAGCTGTCAGGGTGCAGGGGTACAAAGCATTTAGGTAAAACAGTAATCTGGCCCTACAGATTCTGAATAATTTGAAGAAAGAAATTTATAGTAAAAATTTTTCTCTTTTTTTATGACGTCGAGCTCTTGGAGCTCGAACGTCATCTAGCAAGCGCCCAGTTGAAATCGCGACCGGATATGTACGCGACCGAATGTGTCAGTCGATGCATCCGCAATAGAAAATAGCAATAGCTATAAACCAATTTCTTAGAAAACGCTCAAAATGAATAATACCTTGAAAATAAAATTGCATCAATTATATCTGCAATTAATTCTATTGCAAAACAACAATATTATACATTTATTGCATGATAGTGAGGGAAATATGAAGATTTATTCAGCCAAGAAATATCATATTCCCCGAGGGCTTCGCCCGAGGGGAATATGATATTTCTTGGCTGAATAAATCTTCATGTTTCCCGAACATTCATGCAATGAATTGTTTATTATACCGAAACAAGCAAAAACTTTGAAATAAACATAAACTTTCAAATTCGGCACCGCTCTCAAATTCACTTTCATTTTTAACGTAAAGTTACTGAAACCCTTTGACACATCACTTATCATCAATTTTGTGACGTAAACCAGGCTATTGTGACGTCTCGGGACGTCTCTCGGGAGTTTTCTTTCAACGAACAATAACTATTGCGGGAAAATGCACTAGGTATCCGAAGAGGGGAAATATGATGAAAAGCATGCTGACGACCGTGAAATATGAAGTTTTATGGCCCGATCACGTGATAATCTAGAACCAATCAGATAACGCGTTGTGTAGAATAGTTATAATGAGGTATAATAATATGATTTATTCTCACACAAGAAAAACGTGATGGTTGTTGCGGATGAATTTCTACAGAAAGGGTGCGTTGAATGACATGAATAACATTTCGGAACGATAACCGTGTAACATAAACAACACAACAGGAGGTAAAATAATTACAAAATTACATAAACACGAATACTACAAGACTAAAAAGATTGAATTTCTAAATCTTAGCTTTACTTATACAATCTTCTAACCAACTCTATCCTAAAAACCGATGATATTGAACAGCATTACTGTATTTCTCCATTTCCTCCATTTCCCAGTATACCGTATACCACGCCCGATCGTAACTCGATCGTAATTGTAACAGAACAGAGTCTTGGTTGTAGTTTAGATGCAATCACTAATACAACGCTTTGACATTGGCATTTAGAAAAAATATTATATAAATTCATGAAATCCTTCATAGTTCATAATTGACTGAAAAGAATATTTGGCATGAACATGTTCGACGGTGTCTGGTCAATTCGAACCTTGCTCCATTCGGACCATGACATAAGGCCCCAGACTGTAATTGTGATATTTTGTTTAAAACTATTTTTTGTTTAAAACTATTAAAACTATTTTTTTTTTTTATGTCTCCTGAGTCACTCACTTGACTTATCGCTATCTTCAAATTCAAAATTATCTTTTGAAATTGTTTTTCTTGTTCGACGTCATTGAAGCCTTTCAGGCTTTTGATTTTCAATAATGTTAAAATAAGTTTCCTATTGTGTCAGAGAAATTTTGAATGTCTTCATTTATGAAAGGTATAACTTGTGAATTCAATAAAGTCAGATTGATTCCCAGCAGTAAATATTTTACAGGTCATATTACATTGCCCAGTCCTATCTAGGAGTAATAGTAAATATTTTACAGGTCATATTACATTGCCCAGTCCTATCTAGGAGCCAAAAAGTGGAAGGAGGCAATATCTCTGTATGAAAGAGTTCTACAGAATGCAAAGAATGCTTTGAAAGGTTACAAGTCACTACCAAAACCTCAACAAACTCAGTTCAAGGTTAGTTCTTATCATTCACTTTGACTCGGAACACAATGTACATACATTTACGCGTGTGAGCTATGTAAGACTTTTTTTTATATATGTTTTTTTTTTAAATTTATTTAAGAAAAATATTTTATTCCATTTTTAATACTTTTTCTGTTCCCCTTTGTTATTTATTGCAATAGTTACCTGTATTTTCACCTGAATTCAGTGCTGTTTTCCTTTGTAGATGGAAGTAAGTAATTTAGAAGAGTTGGTTCACAGTGTGGATGGGGAGAAATATTCTTGTCATGCCTCTAGTGTACTGGACATCAATGATGTGACAGACCAGATGGGGGCCATGACAGTTAATCCCAAACAGGTCAGTTTAACAGGCACTTGGCACATGACAAACATGGGTAATCAGGCACTGGACATGTATTTATAATTAAGATTAACTTCCTTTATTTACAGCCACTGATGGAGCGCCTGGAGGACTATGCAGATGATGCCTCACTGACCAGTAAGAAGCCTAACCTAGTGTCCTTCCCACCAGACTTTGAACCCATTCCCTGTAGACCATTATTCTTTGATTTAGCTCTGAACCATATAGACTTACCCTCTCTAGATAAACACTTAGAACAGAAGGCTGCCGCCAACCCACGTGGTCTCACTGGATTTGTCAAAGGATGGCTCTGGGGAGGATCCAAATAGTTGTTTTTTGAGAAATTTACAATATTTTTTACCCTTTATATTGTTATGGGGAGGTAACTCTGTCAGCTGTGTTCATTTGTACAGTATGTAACTGTTAATAAATGCATACATTGTAGATGAAGAGATTGGAGATGGTATAGAGGGCATAAATGAAATGTTAATCTTGGCATAGCCTTTTCTTTATTCAGTAACAATATTTTAAATATACTTATGAAAGAAAATAGTCAAGTGAAATGTGAATGGCGTAGAAATTGTAAAATAAAGAAAGTTCTTACTACAGAATGACATTTACATGTAATTAATTTTTTATAAGTGCAATTTCATTCTCTAGAGCAATAGTGTTGTTAATGATAAATTTTTTATAGCTTGAGAAAGTGCTTTGTACTTTACTTTAATGGTCATGTATTAATTCTGATTTACCATCTCATAGAAACTGAAAATAATTGATTTGTGGAATAAAGATACATGTAATTCAAACTACAAATGTGTTTTGAAGAACTGGAGTTGATTTCGTATGAAATGTAGGTTTATGATATTTTAACACTGGCAGGTCAAACAAAGGCATCCTTGTCACAAAGTGTTATAAGGTATTAGTTTTACCATTGTCTGTCCTTCTGCAATATAAAAAGATATACATGTATATGTATAGCTTTGAATGCTTAGATCATTGCAATATATATCGTAACCAACATTCGGTTCGGTTTACATAAAATTAGTTTATGAAGTGCCTCACACAAAAATCTGACCAAGTATAAACACTGATAGCTCAATTCACACATAACACAATAGTTAGTGTAACACTCGGTAATAAATCATGAAGTAGTTCTATTTACTTGCCAGTACTAGTACACTCCCATTTGTCACTATTATCATGTAGACTAAACAATTCAATAGTTTTGAGAACATGGTGTAAACCATTCACATTCCCTCACACATGTCCCTCTTGGTCTTTGAAGAATAAATGTACAAAGCTAAGGTATTTTTGTCTCATTTTCATGTATCTTATTACCGTTCACGGTAGCTCAGTCGGTAGAGCGCTTGCTCCGTGATCGGGAGGTCGTGAGTTCGAATCTCGGCCGCGACAGACCCAAGTCGATAAAAAATAGGTAGCAACTGTTCCTTCGCCATGCGCTCGGCACTTTGAAGTGAAAGTTGCGGGTCCTTCGGATGAGACCGTAAAAACCGAGGCCCCGTGCCACGGTAGGCGTTGGCACGATAAAGATCCCTCACTGCTCAATGGCCCTGAGTGCCGAGTAAAGGTCAAAATTTGAAGCCCTTCACCGGTATATGGTGACGTCTCTATATGAGTGAAAAATTCTCGAATGGGACGTAAAACAATATACAATCAATCAATCATGTATCTTATTACTTAAAAAAGCCTGCCTGACCATTAAAAAACTACGGAAGTACTTTTTGTATTACACAAATATAAAAAATCCTTTTGTTCAATTATTTATTATTCAATTTGACCTATCAAATACATTATTACCAGTAATAATTAACATAGTGAATAGCAAAAGGGAATAACTTCTCTTAAGTGGAGTGCGAATTTCCCTACAATATAAATCGACAGACACTTTGTTTGATTAATACCCAAGAACACAGAAGATTTTCAAAGAATGTATGCATTTTCATTTTCACTATATTTTCAGAGCCCTAACACCAGAACTCCTGACCCAGGGGTCATGAATTTCCCATTTTGGAAGAGGCACCCTTATTTATCAGTACCATGCACTTACTTTGTTTGCTTATTTCCCAGGAGAAGGGAAGAAGATTTTCAAAGAAATAACGATTTTTCACTAAATAATCAATAGAGACCCACTCTTACACCTGAGCCCCTGACCCAGGTGCCATGAATTAGAGGCAAACATGTTCATTATAACCATGCACTTATTTTGTCTGCTAGAGAAGAAGCATGCAATGAAAACTTTTTTCATGCAATGAATTCAAACTATTGTCATACAAAACGAAGGTTTTTCAAGGACTTTGGGGTAACGTAACATGGCTTTGGTTCTTGGTTGATCTTCCAGATGGATATTGAGTAAATAAACGACGACATATCTTAAAGCGGTATCTAAAAAATACCGTAGTTCACGTCACAAAATTACCATTAAAAAAGCTCGATTGCTTCTAAGTTCTTATCAATAATAAATATATTTCTCTGTAAAAGAACATGGACGAACAAGACGAGCAAAGTGCCTATAGTGCGACAGACATGAAATGAAAAATAAAATCTCAATCATAACAAAATTTTCTTAGATATTTCATCTAACATTAAAGTATACTTTATGTAAAATCTCCAAAATTTGCAAAAGTCTCACAAAGATTGTAATTATTTGCCTATGAAATAGCATATACACACTAAAGAGGGCAAAAATGATCATTTTCTCATACTATAACACGGTTTTTCGATATGAGTGGGTTTTTGCTCCATTTTTTTTTAAGTTTGCATAAAAATATACATATTTTGGTTTTAAAAAAGCATGGAGCAACGACCCACTTTACCTTCAAAATACACTTTTATGACACAATATTCGCATCTTCCTAGAAATATACTTGAAGTCCATTTAGTCAGGGTTCATATCACAAACATGATTTTTTCAAAAATGCCACTTCTCCTAAGGATCTGTGTAGTGGTTAGCGCGTTAGTCTCAAAGGAAAATAATGATACTCAGGATTTTTATTGTTAAGGTTCGAACACCGCGAATATCACATTATTTTTTAATAACAGAATAATTTTTGCCAAGAAAAGTTTCCTCAGAAAAGTTTTGTTTATCATAATTTCATAAATTTCAATAAAGATAACCTTACTCTAAATACTAAATTCACAAATTGAATATGATTTTTACATATCTGAAGCTATAGGCATTCTGCACGCCTTGTTCCACATCTCCTTTTGATTGCCCATTGTGGCCCCACCTTACCCCGGGGGACATGTAAAGAGTGCTTTGTTTGGTTGGAATTACCCCAGTGTTTCTTGAGAAGAAGTCGAAAACGTGAAAAGTTTACGGGCGGATGGACGGACGGACGCCAGACAAAGTGTGCTTTAGCTTTCAGCTCAGATGAGCTAAAAGTGTCCGTATAAATACTTCGTCGGATTAAGGACTTCAAGAGATCGAAGTTCGAAGCCATCGAGATCGAGTCTGTTTTTTTTAGTTTTTTTTTTTTTTTTTTTTTTTTTTTTTGTTTATTTTTTTTTGGGGGGGGGGGGTGTTTTTGTTGTTGTTGAAAGTGGGTATCGTACACATATTTAACGGTAATTGGAATGAAAAAAAATTAATCACGAATGCCAAATTGTCAACGGTATCATAAATGCACCCAAAGCAAAAATATTTCCATTCCAAAGGGCCTATTTTTAAAATATTGTAAATTTGTAAAATTTAAAAGTAGACCTGATATATACATGTATCTGTATAAACTAGTAATATACATTTTATATTAGATCAATAATTTATAATTTTATATCCAATTTTGTGTGCTAATGACATGGGACATTATATAAAACTCTGCACCCATGATTTTTACATGCCTGATGTGCTGTCTAAACATTTATAAAGCAAACATAAATTTTGAACAGGACACAAACATCTGACAAATATTTAATACCTCTTCAAATAAATTTGAAAGGTTTCTCAATTCTACGTCTTCCACCAATTTAACCTAAACTTAATGTATACGTTAACAAATACTGCCGCACAATGTGTAAGTATGCCAGGGATTTTATTTACACAATGGAGGATTTTGTTGGTATCTGTCGTAAAAACGCATACTACAGATTAATATTCTCAGATCAATTGATGTAAAGGTTAAGGCGGTCATTAAACATTGAGAGACGTCTACCGACATCTGTGGGGAACTTGTTTCAGCATGTCGGTAGTACGTAGTTGATTTGAAGATTACATTTGATATAGCTTCGTTAACTCCAGGCGACATTGTATCAGGAGGGGGGATGAGCACTTTTTTTTAGACAGAATGTTTACTGTTAATTAATTATAAAATGTTCATGGGAAAAGCTGTTTGCCGCCCCCCCTTTTTTTTTAAATAGTATAGTAAAATGTATTGGGTTTTCTTGTCGACCCCCCCCCCCTTTCTGAAATAGATTTTCATATTTGCTTGTCAAAGATTTTTCATGTAAGTTGCTAATTATCTCTCCTCCTGCACTTTCAAATACCGATACTACGTGTCTGAATCATTTCTTATCATCTGTAGAAAGTCTGAAAATCCTAGTAATCATGTACCGGTCATTTTTTTCTATTTATTAATATGGCTCTTTCCAATCTTCTGATTCTGCTCAGTACGTATAGATGTACCGCATCCAAGTACCGTTTAGACTTGAATTCGTATCTAGCGTCGACCATACCTTAAATTACACGAATTCATTAAATCATTCAGGATTGATTTTGAAACCCTATTGCAAAAAAGGGAAAATGTGAATTTATGTAATAATGCTTCTAACCAACGAAAAATGTCCTTGTTTTGCTCACTGTCTTGTACCTTTCTTTCTTTTTATTGTTCGCCAGTATGTGTACTTTTATTTGACGAGAAAGAACCAGTTCCTGTAGAAAGACAAATGACTAAATTAGTTACGAGACCAATGAATACGATCGATTATTTCTTCTCATATTGAAACAACGCCCAGCAATTACCCAGAAGCAACGACACTGAAATGGTATGCTACATATTGGATTATGATGATCCGAATTTATGCGATTGATTTGTTGCCATTTCAGTCAGTGATTTGACTTTTAAATACAAGAATTGAAAACAAATACTTTTTTATAATATGCTTATGTTTTAAAAGTAGTAATAATTCCTTCAGAATCAAATCCGTGGACAAAAACAGCGTTAGGATGCATTTTTTTTAACTATCTGTTGTAGATTTCTTATTCCTCATTTCTGCAAAAGGAATCTCTAGACCTTAATTTTTGTTGTTTATTGTTCCTTAATCCCCAAAGTTTTGGACTTAAGGGAATGACATGTTTATTCATTACTCATATAGCCTGGATTGAACAAGTTTACTCCGGAGAGGAACGCTTGATTTAAAGGCCTTTCACTTCTGAAGATCTAAAAATTAATCGATAACAGCGAGCACTAACCCGTAACCATTGCAGATAGAAAATCCGGCCATCTTGTTTACATTGGTGACAGCGTTCTAGAGTTTTGTGCTTGCGTGCAGTTTCGTTTATTGAGCATTTAAAGGTAATAACTAGTGTAGTGCAGTTACATTTATCGTATTACATTAAAGGTAATTTTGTGGCTTTTTGCCCTCTCTGAAATTAGCATTAGTGCAGGATTATAACGGCTGTATTAAGCATCATTCTGTACATAGATGGTTCTGTTTTTGTTTTTTCAGTCCTACCTCTAAAATCAAGCCATGGCTTCTGCAGGAGACGATTATGATATTGATGAATTGACGAAGAAACTGAAAAGTTTCGCCTTGACGCAGACCAAGAAGGATGATAAGATGGATAGCAAAACTTGCGGGAAAATGGCAAAGGAATGCTGGCCTAAGACGCTACAGACTAGGATAGATTCCAGCGTCTTCCCCAAAGTCATGAACAAAACAACCAAGTAAGTATCCACAGATCAGAGATGTTTGCTATATAATATTCATCGTACGCTGTAACGAAATATTAAGAGTTTGCGTTTGCTTTCAAGAAGTAGCGAGTACTTCACTGTTTAGTCTTATCAAGGCGGGTTGAATTTAACAATTCACCGTTAGATTGTATCTTCCACTTCTACTGATGATTGTTCTTCGGGTCTATTAATGACCATTTATATATATGTTCCATGTCTATGTTGACTATTCATATATCCTCCATGTATTAATGACTATTTATATATGCTCCATGTCTATGTTGACTTAATACCCAGTATAAGATACAAGATATTTTATTTACCAATCAAGGGCCCCGAGTATATCCTCCACGTATTATGACTATTTATACAAAAACAGGCCCATAGGAAGCAAATTCAGTTGGGGGGGGGGGCACAGCCATACATTTTCAGTTGACAGTTGAGGGGGCACTATCAAAAATTTCCTGACAAGCAAAAAAAGAAAAGAAAAAAAAAAGGTCATCAGACGTTTTTATTGAGGGGGCACAAGCATATAGTATCTAAGTTTACTATAGTAATATATATATCGGCAAAATTATTGGGGGTTCCCAAGGCCATGAAAAAATATATGTTCCATGTCTATGTTGACTATTAATATATCCTCCATGTATTAATGACTATTTATATATGTTCCATGTCTATGTTGACTATTAATATATCCTCCATGTATTAATGACTATTTATATGTGTTCCATGTCTGTGTTGACTATTAATATATCCTCCATGTATTAATAACTATTTATATACATTCCATGTCTATGTTGACTATTAATATATCTTTCATGTCTACTAGTGACTATCTATATGCCTCCCACGTCTATTGATGATTGTTTATATACAGTGTATCTTTGAGGTTTGTTGACTATTTAAGGATACTAGTATCTTCCATGTCTATTGATGACTATATATTTTCCACATCTATTGATATATTTAGGGTTGTTGATGATTATTTATATATTTTCTAGGTCTATTGACCTTAACAATAAAGAACAGATTAAACAATTCATCTCGGAGGCCGCTATTCAGTATGATGACGTCACCAAGAAAACTAAAGAATTCAAAAAACACGAGAAATTCTTGGCAGAAAAAATCATCAAAGGAGACACAGGAATCAAAAAAGCGGTATTTAAACATGACAAATCAACCGGTTTATTGACACAGTTTGCAGTTCCTGGTTATGCTTGAGAGTAACTTAAATAGGATCCATTTGATTTATAAATCGTGTTGCATTTGGAAAGATGTTTGAAGACAGTTGATCTTTATTTGATCTATATTTGTTTCTTTTAGGCAACCTCGTCTACGGGAGGAGTAGATAGAATGACCGACACCTCTAAGTACACAGGGGCACACAAGGAAAGATTTGATGAGTCTGGGAAGGGTAAGGGGGCGTCAGGACGGGTTGACAGGGCGGATAACTCTGGATACGTCGGTAACTACAAAGGGGAGGGAACGTATGACAAGAAGAAGTGATTTGTGAGAAAAGGTTTACCTTCACCGCTGGAAGTCCTTAATTTATTTTACATATACATATAGATGGATATTATTCTTTGTGTAACTTCGTGTGTTTGTTGGTAGTTTCCCATACGCCTCCACAACCCGATATAAAGTTTTAGACAAATTATACTGTTATTATTTTCATATAATGCAGCATTGATTTTTTTTCCTTTACAAAAACAGTCGTGTATTATTTGAATGAATTTTAACAATTCATAGTTATAATTAAAACCAGAAATATATAATTTTCAGTGCAATAGCAAAACTTGTGTTTGAACTTAAATGTCGTAATTTCATTTTGTGATTTATTTAACAAGCCAATGCGTTAAAACACGTTTTTATGCCCAAATAAGTTTATTTCACCACATCTTCCAGAATATCTTGTTTACGTGTAATAGTTATATATACTTTCTGTTATTTAAATATCTGCAATATATGTCATTGTTCTTGTTTTGTCAAGTACGTCTTTAAACTGCTGTATTATAGGAGGGCTCTGTAAGTTCATGTTTACATTTTATGCACTTGAGTAAATCGATAATGCAAATCTTGATGGAGTTTGTGTTCTTGTTGTCTATAGCAACTTCAACAATAAAAGATATTATGGAATAAGTTATTAAAAACGTGCGAAATCACTGTTTCCCCATATTTGATATTTTCATAATTCGACTGTCAACAAATGCAAAATAGCAAGGGCATATGATGTCAAAACTAAAAAGTGTTACGGTGTGTCCCTTTGTGACAACCTAATTGGCCCTGCAGAATTATAAAGTAAGATCGTAGAACATTTTAATGGCAAGATTGAAAATATGCAGTATGTATCTTATGTCGTTCCTGTCTGTTTCAGTGAAAACATTTCGAAGTAGAGGAACTGTGAGCACTGAGCTCACAAAATGATACCTCCGCCTCCCATATGTTTATAATGGCAAGGTCCATGTTTTGCTATGGGAGATCCGAAACAAGTGTCCGATCAAAAAGTAAAATAGGAGGTGCACAATGGCAATATGTAATAAAGATTCTGGAAAGTAACATTTAACCTTATTCAGTGGTATAGGAGAAGTTGGAGATAAGAGATGGGTACCCCTCAATATTATAGAAAGAATGGCAGTGTTCTATGTTGTACGATTGAAAACCTAAAATACCAATAATGGCAAGGTTCATGTTTTGCTATGGGAGATCCGAAACAAGTGTCCAATCAAAAAGTAAAACAGGAGATGCACAATGGCACTAAGTAACAAAGATTCTTTGAAAGTATCACTTTTATTCAGTGGTATAAGAGGAGTTGCGGATAAGAGATGAATACCCCAAAGTGTAGCAGACGGACGGACACCCCCATCAATATATATACATAATACATCCCCGCGGGGGGTATAACAAGACGTCAAACGGGCATGATTCAGCTAGCGCGGACGTCCATGAAAACATTATATTGAAATTTTAGCTTTTAAGTTGATTTTAAATCCACCTAGATTCCTTACACTGAGTATTAATGATTTACTCAAATGACCAATAAATTTATTCAAATTTTTGAATGGTTTGGAATTAATTTAGATATGCATGAATATTTTACCCGACGTTTTTTAAAGACACGCAGACCTTAAATACATGTATATACGTAAAATCTATGAAAACATTGCATTTTTTATTCCATTTGTTCAATTTCAAATGCAATGGACACGTACATGTAATCGGTTATGATGGCAAGCAGAGTTATTTTATGTAATGCTTAAAAAGACTGTAACCCCAAATTCCCTTTATTAACGTCATTGATAACATATTGAAATTTAATTTTGCCAATTGAATTCTAGTTCATCTTTCACCTTCGATACAATGCTTATCAATAACAGCACAACGAAAGTGTTTTTCAGAAATAACTTTGTAGAAAAGCAAAAGGGGAAAGGACAAGAACACACACTGCATGATTATTAATTTACTGTATGCAGGTATTGCTCACTGCAATACATATCAACACACAAAAATTACTTAATGCGGATCTCAAGGGAAAAAAAGGCTGGATCGGGAATCTAACTCGGAACCCTTTCACTTCTAGCTATGTACTATGTACTGTATTTTAACCACTGAACCATCCAGGCCTATGTTCATGGTCCACATATTCCAAATCACTACACAATCCCCCCCCCCCTTCGCTCCTTTTATACACCTCCTCTGCTTATCATGCTTATGTACTGTTCAGTGTTGTATAATTACAAATGAACACTAGCATGAACAAGTATTTACCTGTTTAAAAAAAAATTAGCGAGTTATAGATTATATAAGGAGGATTATATAGAAAAGACCCCCCCCCCCCCTCTTTTTTCTTGCACAAATGCCTGGTAAGGTACCTCATTTTTTAAGGAAACTTCTTAAAGTAGCACTACTTCAATGACAAATTCTTGGGAAAATTTATATATTATTGAGGTTGTCTGACCTTTAACACATCACATTGTAGTGATCCATTCACTCTGTACTGAAACCCCTCACAAACTCCCTTTTCCTGGATTCAATTCTAACTTGACCCCTTCCATACTCTACAAGTTTTACCTATATGAATATAATAGTGAGTTTTATTCAAATGATGATTACTTATATTTACCATTGAAACATCTATGATTGAATTCAGTCAATAGTCTGCTGACCACTAGTCAAGTTTTTCCGACTTTATGTTAATTCTTTGAAGAAAACAAGCATAAAATAATCTCTCAAAAAAAAAAAAAAAACATAGGCAGGCCTCTATGTGACCTCTAAAATTTAGGTGCCAACTGGTTCCTATTCAAAAATATTTAGTCACCAAAGCAAATTTTTAGTCGCCAGGCAAATTTTTCTTAGGCACCAATTTAAAAACTGATATTAGTCATTACATAAGGACTTGTCAATTGCTACCTTTTAAACTTCTTTTCCACTCTTTATCAAAAAAGATGAAAATGTTTATAGTTCAATACTTTGACGATCACCAAGTCACTTTAAAATGGTCGCCAATTTGGCGACTTTTAGAAAAAATTTAGGCGCCAATCATAATTTTTAGTCGCCAATTAGAGCCCTGATAGGTAGAGCTCACCTCAATGGTTGTTATCTTTTAAGTAAGGCAAAGTCCCACACTCAACTAATAATCTAGCAGAGTGCATCCCTATATGCAACATTTATGCAATTTTCATCAAATAGGGCTTGCAGTTACTTGGGAATGGACTTGTTCTAAAAACTTTAAACTATTCACTCATCCAGAAAATGTACAGCTTAGTCAAATCCAGCATCTGAAGCAAGTTTGAGAGTGTTCATCCCTTGATACATCATCCTTACTAGTTTGATTTAGGAAGACTTTGAAGTTGCACTGGAATGAGTCTGCTCCAAAAACTTTACCCAGTCACTCATCTGGAAAATGTAGGTCAGATCTAGCATCTGAAGCAACTCTGGTTGTGTGTATCCCTTGATGCACTATCCATGCAAGTTTGGTTCAGATATGCCTTATAGTTTCTTGGTAATGGACTTGACTATTCTGTTTGTTTCATTTTCAATTTCACCTTGTCCTCATCCACGGAGACACTGATTGTAATGTAGGAAGGGAGAAAACTCTTCATTTTGGCAAATTCAACCACTGATCCCTGTCCATTTCTGATATCAAAACAAATGCTTTTCACAAAGTAGACCGCCTCTATCAAGGTCTTTAAAAAATGTATGAGATCAACAGTTTAACACTTTTATGTACAAATAAACTGACAATCAAAATCAAATAGTAAAAAAAAAAAACCCACTGATTTCAAATACACTGTTGAGTCTTTCTTATAAAAATCCTATCATACCTGTACATCTACACTGTTAGTACAAAACACTCTGAAAATTCTAGCACACACACACACACACACTCAGAGTAGTGCCTCTCTCGGAGTCTTGTGATGGCTTTAGCTCTTCCTCTTAAGAACCAGTGGTCCTACATTATCCCCAGTCTCATCGTTGTGTTTGTTGTGGCTTCCATCACACAGGGGGAACTAGAGGCAAAAATAAAATTACACAGCATATAAAATATATGCAAAAAAAAAAAACAAAACAAAAAAACTGATGAACGCTCATAAATGAATATGTCAGTGGTGAGTGCTAAACAACAGTCAAGTATCTTCATGAATGTATCGAAACTTTGCAAAAGACTTGTTCCTTGCATGAAAAAATTAGAACACTAACTCTTCAAATGATACCAGCACCATACTGTAAAAGGACATCTACTGTACACAATGTTTCTGTCAGGGATCAACATTAACAGTTGTCCGATTGCCCGGGACAAGTAAATTCTCAGTTCGGGCAAGTGAAACTGTCGACATACTTGTCCGATCGGGCAAGTGAATTTTTCTCCTAGAAATATGCATATTTAGAGTTTACACTGATTTATAAATAAAATAATAAATTGAACAGCTGACTTCCGCTAGGTACCTGACTGACATTGAATTGCATTCGGAATTCCTTGGTAGCGTTTCTAGATTATACCACCCATTTAAATATTGGGTTCATTATTCTGTTTTCTTTCGTAAATCCTTGGTAAATTCACTCTACATCTAACAACTATGTTAACTTCATATTAAGAAATTAGATTATTTATTCACTCAAAGAATATAAGAATATAATATACGATGTATCCCAATCAAGATGTGTATGTTTCGTAGCAACTATCTTCCTTGAGCGTTGCTTCACACCTAGATCCTCAATCTTACCTTCTTGGAACACCAGCACCTGCAGTACTTAGGTGACCTTGCCTAGATCCTCAATCTTACCTTCTTGGAACACCAGCACCTGCAGTAGGTGACCTTCTCTCCCAGATCCTCAACCTTACCTTCTTGAAACACCAGCACCTGCAGTAGGTGACCTCTCCCAGATCCTCAATCTTACCATCTTAGAATGACTGCACCTGCAGTACTTAGGTGACCTTGCCTAGATCCTCAGTCTTACCTTCTTGGAACACCAGCACCTGCAGTAGGTGACCTTCTCTCCCAGATCCTCAATCTTACCTTCTTGGAACACCAGCACCTGCAGTAGGTGACCTCTCCCAGATCCTCAATCTACCTTCTTGGAATGCCAGCAACTGCAGTAAGTGACCTTCTCACCTAGATCCTCAATCTTACCTTCTTGGAACGCCAGCACCTGCAGTAGGTGACCTTCTCTCCCAGATCCTCTATGTCCACCATATTGACCACTTTGGCCGTTTCTTTCTGTATTTTCAGATTAACTGGAGTTTTCTGAGGTGGGGGTTTTGGTTTGAATGTTTGCACACTCATGTAAACTATTATCGAGACTGCGCCAACAAATGGCACCAAGGAAGCCCATTCTGTCACTGAAAACAAAAACAGGATTAAGCAAATTTGTTTTCTATATTGAAGACATTAAAAAAAAAAACAAATCATTTCCATTATTTCTCTTCTTTTACACATTTTAATGTATACAAAATGATCAACATTGGTCATTTATGGTACATACTAATGAGTTCAATTTCTGTTTGTAAGAAAAGAAATCTAAATTTAATGAGTAGCTCATTAGACTATTACAATATTGTATGGTTACCTTTAATTTGTCCCTTTTAAATATGAGAGATTGTCTTTAAAAGAATACATTGTAAGTAAGCTATTGGGCTTGAAGTATTGTTAGGTTTAAAATAATTCTGATCAATTTGGCATAACCTACCATCATGGCTTTGTGAGAAGTGTAGGGTACCAAAAAACCCATGGTTTGCAAACATGCAAAACACCAAACTTTACAAAATACCAGTGGAACCACTATAGCATTCACTTTCACATATGAAAAAATGTGACATCAGATAACAACCAATGATGCCAGGGAGCAAAGACAAGAGACCAAGGATGGTACTGATCTTGCATTTTCAGTTCGCCACATTGCCCTGATGGCCTTTCAAACATTTTTTATTTGAGCTGTTGCCTTCACGTGCCTCCTCACTTGTTTTTTTTCTTCCCTTGCTTTGTTGAGCTGGCATTTGCCTAACCTCCTTGCTTTGTTGCCCTAGCATTCTCCTTACCTTGCTTTTTTTTCCTTAGCATTCTCCATACCTTGCTTTGTTACCCTAGCATTCTTCTTACCTTACTTTGCATTCTCCTTACCTTGATTTGTTGCCCTTTCATTCTCCTTACCTTGCTTTGTTACCCTAGCACTTCTTACCTTGCTTTGTTGCCCTTGCATTCTCCTTACCTTGCTTTGTTGCCCTTGCATTCTCCTTACCTTGCTTTGTTGCCCTAGCATTCTCCTTACTTTGCTTTTTTTCCTAGCATTCTCCTTACCTTGCTTTGTTACCCTTGCATTCTCCTTACCTTGCTTTGTTGTCCTTGCATTCTTCTTACCTTGCTTTGTTACCTAGCATTCTCCTTACCTTGCTTTGTTGCCCTAGCATTCTCCTTACTTTGCTTTTTTTCCTAGCATTCTCCATACCTTGCTTTGTTACCCTTGCATTCTCCTTACCTTGCTTAGCATTCTCCTTACCTTGCTTTGTTGCCCTTGCATTCCCCTTGCCTTGCTTTGTTACCCTAGCATTCTCCTTACCTTGCTTCATTACCCTAGCTAGCATTCTCCTTACCTAGGATGCCATTGTTTGCCTGTTTTACAACATTTTTTAAATTCAATTTAAAAGTTTGAATAAATGAATTATTTCAGAATTTTATGATTATATACCAAATACCAATATTTTAGTCTCTGTATCAAGATATGTATCACACAATAAAATATCATGATATACTGGTGCACCAATAAAATTGCACATTCCTACTAACTTTTCTTCAATATTATTTGCCAGCATACCTGCAAATGCCTATATATACAAAATATGCGTACCACAATAACATATTTTTTTAAGAAAAGATGTGGTATTTTAGTGTCTTTTTGTGAAAAAAAATATATGCAATATGCAAAGTTTACGATTAAATGTGAATACACCTGTTGCATTTTGGTATAGTTTTCCCTTTAATTACCCAACAAAGTGGTGGCGTTCTAATTTTTGACTGTTATAATATACCATAGCATCAAGCCCATTATGTTACAGTACATTGTCAAGAAACATCAATGTGACCAATGTAAAAAGTGTAGAATTATATATTCTACAAATATTTTATATTTTAAAAAATGGACATGACGGAAGAGCAAATGAGCATGTGCGCTGAAGCAAAGTCATATCGGGTGACAACCGAAAGATTATGAAGCGATACACCATGTATATACCCCCATAAACACTTCTCATTTCATTCTATCTGGTTTTTGCACTGAATAAATCAAACCATACCAGACAATCTTGCAAATCCAAACAATGACTTTGGAACAGGTAAATTCTTTAAATAATCGGGTAGAGATTCCGTAACAAGTCTGTTTACCACCTCCATTGCATTTGGCAACCCTAATTACGCGAAGTACTAAATATATGCTTTTGATTTTTTTATTATATTTTCATTTTAGATATAACAATTAATTTTAAACTGCATAATATGTCCACAATCCTGACCATAAGTATAAAATCACGCTTTCTATTTTCCCTGTTCTAAAAGGTGTTAGAAATTGGATTAAATCAGTGATTAGTTGGTCATTAGTCGCCTCTTTAGGTGGCGTGTGTAATTTTAGGTCCCATGTCGAAGAACTTTTCCCAGAACTGGAGATTTTGTTCCCAGGTTTTCTGTGTTGTTTTTAACAGTGTATAATTGTTCATGTGTAACTGGATGTCTTGAGAATATTTCTAATGCTTCTGAACAATCAACAGTTCACACAACACTGACATTATTAAAATATTTCAAAATACCAACAAACCATCGATATGGCCTTGAAATTAATTGCAAAGGTTTGTAAAATAAAATATTTTCATGACTTGTAATTTTAATTTGTGTCATCATACATTGAAGTTATTAAAATATTGCAAAATTAGTGACCGATAAACTAGCAGTGTATGTTTAGCATTAAATTAATTGTCTATTTTTAATATCATTAGCAACTGGAGAAACTGTATCAGGAAATTCCAGAAGACTGTGGTTTCACAGCAGGTCCTCTGGAAGATGATAGTAAGTATAATTATACCTCTACTGATTTTTCACTATACAAAAGTAATTTGATATATTTTGCTTCCCTGAAAATCACAATAAAAAGACTGATTCCCTGCAAAACATCGTCGGCTTTCCTTATGATATGTAATGATATTCCCCTATCACCTACATATGGTGTTTACGTCTCCCAATGTATTTGATACTCAAGAGCATGCTCGGAGTACAAATTTTTAAACTGAGGTATGCTAGTGACAGATAAGTTGATGTTTCAACAACCTTGTTTAAAGTCCGCATTTTCAACCATTTTGTAAATTCTATGATCATTATTATGACCGTTAGCAAATATATCAGATCGTTTAGTTGTATTTTGGCTGACATGTTTCATACCAATTGCTTGGCCTTTGTTTTTATACTAAATTTGACTACAGATTGTTCCGTCTACCTGATCAATACACGGGGCTCACAGCCGGTATGACTGGTCAACAGGGGATGCTTACTCCTTCTAGGCACCTGATCCCACCTCTAGAATTTCTGGGGGTCTGTGTTTTATGCCCTTTTCACAGATTTGTATAGTTTGTAGATTTGTTTGAGATCAGTCAATTTGTTTTCTTCACCTTTTTCATTTGATGAACTGATACACACCTATTTTTTTATAATTGGAAACATTATTCCTTGCAATATTACCATCGTTCAATATTGGTAAAGTTTTAAAAAGAAACACAAATCCTAAAAAGAATGTTTTTTTTTTTGTTTTTTTTATCACAGACAATATGTGTTTGTGAAACACTGATGCCCCTATATGGCAACTTGTAGGAAAGGTTAAACTTTCTCAAATGCAAATCAAATACATTGGTACCCAAAGTAAGGTCTTGTCTCGAGGAATATACCTTTGAAATATGAAAGCTCTAGCACCGAGCATTCAAAAATTATGGCCAAGGTTAAAGTTTTCCAAAAGTAGGTCAAACATCAAGGTCAAGATCAAAATTAATGGTGCCCAAGGAAAGGCCTTCTCACAAGAAATATATTTGTGAAATATGAAAGCCGTAGCACCAATTGTTCAAAAGTTATGGCCAAGGTTAAAGTTTCTCAAAAGTAGATCAAAGTCAATGGATTACAATTGTTTGTATCTTAAGGAAGGTCTTCACAAGGAATAGACTTGTAAAATATGAAAGCCCTATCACCAACCGTTCAAATGTGATGGCCAAGGTTTAAGTTTTTCAAAAGTAGGTCAAACTCCAAGGTCAAGGTCAAAGTTGTTGGTATCCAAAGAAAGGTCTTGTCACAAAGATTACATATGTGAAGTATGAAAGCCTTAGCACCAACCGTTCAAAATTATGGCCAAGGTTAAAGTTTGGTAAAATTTTGTAAAACTGGGTCAAACTCCAAGGTCAAGGTCAAATATGATGGTATTCAAAGAAAGGTCTTGTCAAAAGGAATACACATGTGAAATATAAAAGCCATAGCTCCAACCAATCAAAAGTTAAGGGCAATGTTAAAGTTTTTGTGGACAAACAGCTATTCAGACAGACAGACAGATGGGGCAAAAACTATATACTCGCGAATCTCAGATACGGGGGCATAAAAAGTTCCAATATTTCCATTGTGCACCTTATAATTGCACTTGCGTATAAAATAGAATGGCAGTATCTGTTACAAGTTAACATCTTATTTTTGTATCAATCTGTGTTAAAAGTATATCACTTAGGGAGTCAGCAAGATTCCAGTTCCATTTGAGCAAGCATATGTTTTTAAAAGATGGCCCGATCTTGAATCCTTACATCATTTTTTTTTTCAGTGCTTCATTGGGAGGCTTCCATCATTGGACCAGTAAGTTTGTTATACAATCCTACATTAAATAAAATTTGACTAACCTTATAAACCTTGATGTCAGAAATGTCTTCATATAAATTTCTCTACCTTTGATCCGTGTTAATATTTGCAGGAGGACAGTCCATACAAAGGAGGAAGATTTTGGTTACGAGTCGACTTCACGGCAGACTACCCCTTTCGACCACCAAAAGTACCATTAACAACAGTAAATCATAAAATTGGATTTAAAAGCTTACTGCATTGCAATAGTCATGCTGGATTCCCTTTCATTTACAGATATTTTTCCTGACAAAAGTGTTCCACCCTAATGTAGAGCCTGATGGTAAAATCTGTGTGGATTTTTTACAAGATGAGTGGAAACCATCTTACACCATTGGTTACAGTAAGATGAAGTGATTTTTGTTACTGGTATATAATGTATATAAACTAAAGATAACCTTACAAGCGGGGTTAAAATAACTTCTGTCTTTTGGTAATTTTCATGCCAAAAAGTGGAATATTGTAAATTCTTTATGTGAAAGTTGTTTGTTAAAGAGTTATGTCCCTTAGTGATGTAAAACCTAAGTACTTTCATGATCTGTTTCATTGGTTCAAATATGTTGACTTTTCAGTTTGAGATACATGTACTTAAAAATATCAACATTTACAAAATGTTCAAAATTGCATAATAAATATTTTCATCTGCCTAAAGGCCTTTATTATACACGGTATTGCATGAATAATTTCAATAGATGGTAAGAGTGAATTTCTGTTTTTACGTAGCCATCTATTCATGCAAAAAGTAAACTATGGTTTAGCAAAAAACTTGGTAAGAGTGAATTTCTGTTTTTACGTAGCCAAGTTTTTTGCTAAACCATAGTTTACTTTTTGTATTGAGGCGTGTTTATTATTTCATCAAAATCTAATTTCAGTTTTAATGGCCATTTGCTCTCTCTTACTGCATCCTAACCCTGAGAACCCTGCCTCTGAAGAAGCTGCTAATATGTACATCAGTGACCCCGAACAATTTAACAAGACGGCAGAGGAGTGGACCAAGTTACACGCACCTCTTGATGTCTGACAACAGACCATCTTAGTTTAACAAGTACAAGCCATATTTATGTGACACTTCTACATTTTGCCTTTTCGGTTTATATTTCAACATGTTATACATGTACCAGGTAATTGATAATGACCATTACACGGATTTTATTATTGTTTTGTACCTTCTTATGGTACTGTACACTAATTTGTGATATACAGTGTGTTAGCATAATGTATTTATTATTTATTTATGTACTTAATGGTTGTTATTAAACAATTATACCTCAAGCTCAGTTGAAGTTATTCTGCATATCAAGACTGTCAAAACTTTTATAAGAGTTCGATAATGTATGTACAAGCACAATCTTACTCTCCTGTATCTTTTTCAAAGCCAAGTCAAACCAATATGCATACCCTAAAATGTTGAAAATTAGCCAGATCTAATTATAATAAACTGGTTTTGAAAATAAGCCACCTATTTCTTTCACCAAAATATACTTCAAAATAAGCCTGTTTTGAAAATACGCAATACATTTTAATGCCATTTAGGAGGAAGCATCAGAACTTTATGCTTCATTCCAATTTTAAAATATTCAACATTTGAATATATATGAACACATTCAATACATTTCATTGTGATTCATATGTTAAATGTCTTATATGGTGCTAATATTAGTTAATTTTTATGTTATCTTTAATCTGAAAAACATACACGTAAAATTTCACAGCATTAATGCACATGTGAATATTTTCCATGTGCTTGATGCCCCCCACCCCCCCAAAACTGAAAAAGAAAATGAAGTGGCAAAAATGGTTTCAAAATGAAATCCGTTTTTAACCCGTTAATATATCCCTTTGTCATGTAAAATATACGTGGCACAGGATACTTTAGCGCACATAGTTGGCCAGTATTTAGCATCAAGGCATAGGTGATAATTTGGGTAGATAGAATGTCTTGCCTTAAACATGGTGTACTTGTGTAAAATGAAATTGATGATTAATTAAAATAATGGTCTCACTTATTATAGTGCTTTACCTGTTCAGGAAAAACCATCAGGAAACTTACTGTTAATAAATACAAATACAAGAAAGCACAGCATTTTCTATGAAAAATTACGAATTACCTATTAACTAGTATATTCGCCTGTTCTTCACATTCAAGTGTGTGGATTTTTGGTAAGCAGGTTTTGATTCTGCGCATTTCAAATTTTTAAAAATTGCAAACTCTTTTAAGAGCAAACGTGACCTCTGAATTCAACTGGACACTGTTCATTTCAATGTTAGCAGGTGTTGTCTCGATATTCCATTTTTAGAACAAAGAAGCCATTACAATCTTGTATCTGTTGATTACAGATTTTTTGCTTTGATAAAAAGCCAGGGTTTATTTTGAAAATAAAAATATTTCATACCAAACATAAAACAAGTCACAACTTTTTTTTCCTAAGTTTTTGGGTATATATAGTTTTTTTTTAATTTTACTTTGTCTTTCAACAATAATGAATCTTAAGCAGCAAAGTCTTTGAATATTTATTTGGAATCATTGCAATTGTGTCATAGTGAGAAAAAGCCTAATCTTTTATATTTACTGACAATTGTGTATACATGCATGAAATTCATTGAATGAAAAGGCCAAAACAATTCATCCATTTCTTAAAATGGATAGTAGATAATTGGCATCTGAATTCCTGACATTTTATTATTAGATAATTTGCATCTGACATTATAAGATTAGTATCAGACATTTTATTAATCCAATGCTCGAGTTGTGTAATTAATTTGAAAGTACAGGCAAAAAGAATAGTTCTGAATTTGTAGATCAATAATAAATCATCATAATACCCTGTACAGTGTTATGTATATAAATTCAATTATCAGGCCATCATGATTCAAAAATACTTCATTTCTGATTAAAAAAGTTATATTTAACCACTTAAAATAACAAAAAGATGGCTGAACAAAATTTATTACATTTTAAAATTGTATCACACAACATATTCTCTTAAATATGAATTAAATGAAACTCTTCTTCAGCTGAAAAGAGTCTTTATATCTAAAGTGAATTTAAAAATGAGGACAAAATTCAAGTTGTAAGCAATGAAAATCACTATTAACACAGATTGGTCAGGATTTAAAATTCTCTTCTGTGGTATTGGTCTGGATCATAATACGAGGTCACCACGACACGGTTTGAGAACTTTCTCCCGGTCAAAGCCTGCTGAGCTTTCTGACAGTCGATGATAGAATTAAACTCCACAAAAATCTATAAACAACAGAATAACAAAATGTTATGCCAAGGATTAATAAGAGGTCCATGGGCCACAATGCTCATCTGAGTCATTATTCTCTTCTTTGTACATGTAAATAAAACTTCTTGTCATCTCAAAATTAAAGTCCAACTTTAGAAATTATTTACCAGAATCTTTCTGGTTTATGACTAATTTTAACCAATTTAAATCAAAATTATACAATTAATTACCCCTTTATGAGGTCAACATGGTTAAATACAGACCCAAGACCTGGCCCACAAGGTGACCTGACCTGAGGCTGCCTCGCAGGTCAGGTCAGTGAGTGAGTCAGATCTTGGGTCTGTATTTCAACATGTTGACCTCATTAGGGGGAATCAATTATATAGATATATATAACGATATCAGAAAAAGCTGTCAAATATCAAAATATCTCTTCCTTTTGGGAAATAGGAAAAATTTATTTCAATATTGAGTAACAAATATCTTAAATGCTTTGGCCAGGTACAATGAAAATCTGGTGCGGATTTTTACTGCATAAAAGTGTCAAGACTGCATTTTTTTGAATTTGACATTCAATGAATAAACAATAAATTTTAGAAATATAGATCTAAAGTATTCTGTATCATAAATAGACAATATACATTTTAAAAGCATATTTTTTTTACGTATAATCATTACTATATGCATTAAGTTTAATTTGAAGGGAATTTTTAATATGATAATTGCTGTAAACAGAAATTGTTGGAGTCATTAAGTTTTAAAGCCTTCTAACAAGCCAATCAAATCTGAGTATTCTCAACTGAAGTATAATAATAGTAACTGGTATGCCAGTGGTTCCTTTATAAATGACACAACCCTCTTCTGTATTTCTTATTATTATCTCCTCTTGAAAAGGGGTGTAACAAAAGCATGCAGTTGTACATTTGACCAAACTTGAATCCATTGTGTCAAGTTTGGTTGAAAATGCCCCCAATGGTTCTAGAGAAGTTGCAAATATGAAATTTTTACAGACAATACACAGAAGATTGACAGAGATTTCAGAAAATTGGGGGGGGGGGGGGGGGGAGGGGCAACTTAAGCCTTTGAGCCAGTGGAACCAAATATTACATCATGATGATAGATCTGTCCATCTTTTAAGTGCTTATAAAGGAATACGGTATGAAAAAAAATTATCAAAAATTAATACAAAGTGAAATAAAATCAAAATACTGGACCTTTCCACATCCTGGCACTTCAACACCTTTAATAGGTCTTGGGACTTCAATGCTACGTACAACTCCGTATTTCGAGCACTCCTCTTTAACATCTTCCAAAATATCTTTAAAAAAAATAAACATCAATAGTATAACTAAAATCAGCATAGTCCCTCTGCAAAAGCAAATTATCAGATAATCTCCCAGTTGACAATTTCTATAAAAATGTAGCCAAATTCTATTAAGAAAATATCTATGCCAAGAGTGATACATCATATTATCATGTATATGATGGACACTCAAGTATAATGTAACAATTCTGATTAAAAACTGCTTGGAAAACTATTGTCCTATGCTTTGTATAAATCTTCAAGTACTTAAGGGTTTGGTTTTGTGTTCATCCAAGTGAAACTCGTACGAAATAAAAATCTCAATATCTTAATAAATACTTCTTGCTTACTCTTGAAAACTGACCTATGACACCTTCCATGGGAAAGCTGTCTTGATATGTATGCAGTTTGATTGTCACTTGCAGTGTCATGCAGCAATAATGTGCATATTACACTTGCAGGACTGCACAGCTACAGGTCTAACAAAACAATAACATGACATTTGTTGTATATGTGCAGATAGTTGAACGTCATGGGTACAACTATTTGTTTCGTTCCTAACAATTCTGTGCGTACTTTTTCCATAACTGTCTGTTTTTCTTCAACTAGGCATGTCCGCCATGCGAAATCTGGGGGCTGCCATTCCGGTATTGAAACCAACTGACTATTTCTGTAATCTGATGTCTCTAGTACCCCGATTACACAAAGCAATTAGAGAGATATTTCGTAAAACATCTCCAGCTATTAGAATGTTTCGATCTAAATGTTTAATATTGTTTATTATAAAAGTAACATCAATGTTTACGTCATATCAGGGAATGCTCCGTCTTCGATTTTACAATGGACAGATAAATTAATACGCGCCCAGTTTTAGCAGTTCCGACTGAATTTAACGTCTGTTATTTCTTTTGCAGGTAAGGCTATTAATTACCTTTTATCAAATAAGCATATTAATCCTACAAATGTGGGACAATGTCATATAATATTGAAAAATATTGCACGAAAATTAAGAACTATAATCACTCAGCGTAGTTTATTTCTGAGGTCTGCCATGCGATATTCGGCTAAAGTGAAAGTAGGAGCTGGTAAGTCGATTTGTTGTGTTTATTGTAATTTATGAGCCTTATCTCAGAAATACGATATAACTCCTAGTATCAGTAATACATTTTGAGTATGACAACGCCTGCGATCTGATGCACATCAATTTTAAAAAGTATAAACGTTATACAAAGGATCTGAGAATTTCCACGTGTTTCTTGCAGACCACAATTTGGTAGCGGGCAATATTTAAGGTTCCTCTAATAAATATTACTATGTTTCAAAATACATAAAGTATTCGTTATTGTATAAAAATATAGTTCAGTCAAAAACATGGTTTCAAATATTATGAGTCTAGTAAAGAACTAAATTTTGTTTTCATTAATGAGCGATTTTTGTGTAAGATCCTTCATTGAGCCTCAGGCACACCAAGTTAAATGTCCAATGACGGCTAAGTGAAGTGGCTCTACGTAGTACACATATATGGTAAATCAGATGTGTTATTTGTAGATCAAAATTTTGATATTCAAATTTTATTACTTTTTGTAAAAGAGATGCAAGTATTATTAATTATTTATATAAATAATTTTCACATAAGTTTGTACTGTATACAAACCATCATTTTGGACTTGGTCCTTCTGATTTGCAGATTAGTGCAGTATATGTAGTTCTCATGGGGAAAAGTAAATTAAGCGATAAAAATTTTCAAGGATGTCAACTTAATTTGCTTATTGCTTGATAGGTAAATTGTTCAATGTTCATCAATTTGATGAAGAGTGCAGCAAAATTGAAAAACAGCTCTTTTTTTTAAAGATGAAAATTGCATAAAGTATTAATAATTAATATTCTCTAGTTGAAATGGTTAAGATTGAAAACTTGAATTTCTGCAGCTGCATTGGTTTCATCAAAAAGGGAGTACAATAAGGGGGTCTTACCTGATCTTAAGTTACCATTGAGCATGCTGAATCAAATGCTACCAAGCATGCATGTTTATTTTTAATTGAATGTTCATTTTATGAAAGTTTTTCATATGCTCAATCAGACTTAGGTTGTTGGTTGCACTTGTAAGGAAGAGATAAGGTGCTGGGGGTGGGGTGGGGGGTAAACCTTGGTATTGATCCATAAATACCATAATATTCTTGTAGAAACCTCTAAGATTTTTCTATAAAATTGAAGAAAAAAAATGAATGTACATGTAGCCACCACTTTATCTCAAAGGTTATTATTATTATATTTTTTTGGAGGACCTGCATTTTAATGGTACAGGCAAACCTTGTTATTTCTATCCTGATGGGACCAATAAAAAAAATCAAGAAATCTGGTATAGTTTGACACATTGAGGTTAAAATGCTTAAAGAAAAAAATGGAAGAGACTTTCAATGAAATATGAAGATAACAAACAATAATCAAATTCAAATTCACATAATTTTGAGAGATGGAAGCAAAACTCTATTCTTATAATGTCTCATAGAAAAAAGTTTTATCGGACACAGTTTCAGGAAATAAATACCATTCAGTTAAAACACTGACACTCTTCAACATGTTCAACAAAGATTAATATTAATATCTAGATTTAAAAGAATTGTTTTTGAACTTTTTTCCTAAAATTTATTATAACTATGTTTACCATGTTTACAGAATGCCTTGTTTCACAAAAAAGAACACTGTTGACAGATATTTTCTCTGGACTGTCAATTTCTGCATTTCATAATCATGTGATACCTGTGTTGGAGCCCTCCCAAAAACCTCCCCTGTAAGGTAAGTTTTATATCCCAATGAAATGATTCTGTAAATTTAATAGACATGTGTATAAGGGTATAAGGTAGGTGTTATAATCACAGTGAGCTGACTAGTCATTTTCATTTTGTATAATTGGATTCAGATGTTATTCTATGTGTACAGAATGAAAGAATGTACAATTTTTATGATGAGAAATATATATGCGGTTGGATGAAAAGAAAGATTTTGTTTAAGTGAATGTTGTGTATGTGTCCATCACATTGTCTCAAGCCATGGTTGGAGTCCGCCTACAGTTTTCTCCTACCCGAGGCTGCTTGAGTGAATTAAGTATCGTTATCATGAATAATCAAACCTAATATGTGTGATGTCATGTTATAACCCAATAAAAGTAATTGTTTATATTGCAGTTGACTTTAATGATAAAAAAAACAACTGTTAGGTAAACAGTGACTGAAAAAAGGAAGTCACATCAGAGGTTATTTTTAAATAATTGAAAACTTCAATCTCTTTTGGAAGGAACTGTTTTTGATCATCTTCTTGTAGCTTACTAACACACATGTCATCATATCAGGTTTTTAAAATTCTGCCATCAAATCCTTACCTTGTCATTTAACCTTCAGATTTTGTACTTGTTTGCTTTATTTCATTATGATCTTGTATGCTTGTCTCATCTACTTCCCAAGGCAAGATGACATGACCATCACTTGGGTTTACCTTAATTGATGTTATTTATGTTTGACCTCTTTGTATACAGATTAGACTCATTTATCTCTATATGGATTAAACTACTCTGATCTACACTAATTGTAAATTAAAATAAGATATATTCAGTCCAACAATCAGTGTTAACCAAGATTTACAATGTGACCATCATTGCTGAGGGATGTGTAGCCTTTGACCCTGAAATTTACATGTCTATCTTTGCATACTTTTTACTTAGTCATGATGTAAAGATTTAACTTTCAATTCAAGTTCCCTCTTTGAGAGTGATCAACAGTATTGTTTTTTTAGTGGTATGTTATAAATTATTTATATTTAATATTTTACAGATTTCAAAGTCAAGGAGATCATTCAAATGACAGAGGGTTTGGTCCATGTTGGTTTGTCTCAACAGTTAATCTTTTGGAAAGCAGTGTTGGAGAAAATAGCAGCAACATGTGAAGACTGTGATTTAGTTTCATATGATATGACTAAAGAAAGTTAATATTTTTGATTTCATAGTTGTATGAACAAATGCTATGAACTTTCCAAACATCATTTTAAAAAAAAGTTAATATGATGACCAAACAAAAATACATATTAATTTGAACTTTCCACGAGTTTACAATGAAGAACATTTTGGGATCTTGATACAGGATATTATAATAGTGTTTTATCTAATTTATTCATATTGTTTAGTGCATTAAATGCAAAAAAATGTTTTAAAGTCACTCTTGTGAAACCCATGCTAAGAACACAGGTCTCAAATATCTTAGAGAGTTATATTAGAGTTATATTGTTAGAATTGAAGCTTATTTATAAAATTATACCTTATATCTTTAAAGAAAGTTTCACAAAAAATAGTCAAACATATACTGGTTAACATATTAAAAGAAATATAATATCCTGGAAGTGATTAAGAATAAAAAAGTTCATTTATCATCCTTTTCTTTTGTTCTTCTTGGTGACTTTTTTACAATAATCAAAGACATTTACATTTTAGCTCATCTGAGCAGAGGCTCTATTGAACTTTTCTGATCAAAGAGTCTCTGGTGTCTGTCCATCTGTCATCCATAAAAATTAAACCCTGAAATAGGGGTATCAAAGTTTGACATGGGAATAGATAGGAAAAAATCATCCTTTAATGAACAACAAGGTAATGATTTACTCATAATGTATGCAAGCATCCTCAAGTAGTGAAGATTCAAGTTGGTCAAAATCATTTGCCAGACTTATTATTATAATAATATTAAAATATTCCCTATTTGTATTTTTTTCATTTTTTTTTCTTCAAATAAATCTGAGATCAGATTTTATATATAAATTGGTAAATGCATGTATACATGTGAAAAAAAAAAATTTAGGAAACATATAAGCCATGTTAGCCATATTGATAATGAAATATTCTCATGTTGTGGAATCAGTTTTGGATTAGACATGGCCTTATGACCCAAGGTGTGGCCACAATATTGGCTCAAATTTGTTTTTATGAGAATTAAGGGGGATAAGAATGTCTTAGAAATCTGAAGAACACCAAGGTAACTCAAGTGAATGTTGTGGGCCAGGCCTCTTATTTAAATTGCCCACTTTCATTATCCCTGCAGATTTTTAACATCTTATTTGGCATATTTTTTAAGGAGAAAATTATTTTTCTAACATTAATTTCACTGTTTTTTTTTACACACCATAGAGTAATATTTTAGATACATCCGGGCTTTCATATACAGTGCTATTTTTAGATCAACAGTGAGTCTCTTTAATTCTATTTTTAACACATTGCCATGTGGTTGGGACTACTTTCATGGCTAACATTTTCTTGTTTAACAAACAAGTATGCATTTAAAGAAATGTACCTATTGTAGTGAGTTTACATTTAAATCAAAGGTTCTTCACAAATAGTTGTAGCCACTTAATTGGTTTAACTATTTCATATTTTTTTGGATTTTTTGGTGCACTACTAAAACCTGTGGCTGCGCAGTCCTGCAGGTGTATTGTGCACTTCATAGCTGCAAACTGCTGCAAGTGTTAATTAAGCTGCATATACCTAGAGATTGTTTTCATTATGAAGATGACATGGACCAGTTTTCAAGTGTTAACAAGGCTTAATTTTTGAGATATTAACGTTTTTATTTTTAGTGAGTCTCACTTGGCTGCACACAAAACCAAACCCTTAAAATACCTCAGTATTATAAGTGTAAGCCCTTGTTGATCTACATACATTGTATATAAAATAAATGTGATATACATGTCTCTACCTTCATATTCCTCTTCATCCTCTAGTTCTTCGGGGACAATCATGTTCATCAGACACAGAACTTCTGTGGGAGGACCTGCTCCCTGGTTCAGGTTCAAGCCTGGAATCTGGAGCTGAACCGGCTAGAATACAAGATATCCTCATTTACAAACAAACCAGGAACAGAATACACTAAACATGAAAACAGAAGAACATCCAAATTTTCTTCAATTCTTAAGTCAGGTCCTCTGAAGAATCCTCTATTTTGTTTATGTACTCTAAATTATTTAATATATTATGTATGACAAGATTTTCATGAGGGAGTAGTAAATATCGTAACTTCTGTTACAACACTGAGTAATGTAATAAAGGTTCCCCAAAACAAAATTACTGTAAATTTACAGAAATTTATGCTATTACAGGCATATTTATTATATAAAATTTACCACTTGAGAGTTCTTTGCACCTAAACTGGCTCTTTGTACAATTAATTTTTTGTCTCCTAACTGCATACCATTCAGTCCTGCACAGCCCTGTTAAAATAAAATATTTATATATCATCGATAATAAAAATACACTGTATTATACATCAAAATAAATACATTAAAAATATTTATACATCATCAAATCATGCACTTGATGCACGCTTCCTTAATTAAATTAATGTAGATTAAGATACACCAGCATTCTTTTCTGTACATCCACAGAAGAAAAGTATACAAGCTCCACAACAAATTAAACTCTGTGTTGATTTGTTTAGCAGAATTTTATTTTCTAGATGTAAACAGGAAGACAAACCTGGTCTGTAACATTGGGGTCTACATATTCACAGAAGGCGTATCCCTTAGACAAGCCTGTGGCACTGTCCTTTACAAGGTTAAAGGCCTTCAATGGTCCAAAAGAGGTCAGTAACTCCTTCACCTGCAACAAAAACAAGGATTCCTCCTAGTCCAGGAAATCAAAAGGCTATTTCAAATAGTTTTTTTTATAAAGACGGTTTCTTTAATTGGACTTATAGTTTTTGTTTAAAAATTCATTCAATAAAATTACAATCTTACCTGCTACAAATTGCACATCTGAAGGTCCTATACTAAACTAGTAATTTCCCCCAGAAAATGCAATGTCTTATTTGCCAGTTTTCAACCAATTTAACCTACCCATCCCAACAAAGCTCCCTGTCCCAATTTTTCTGTTTGTAAACCTTTCAAAACAGACTACACCTCTCTCAAAACTGATGTGTATTTCTGAGGACATTGACTCACTTTTGCCAAGTCGACAGAACCAAACATCTCTCTTTTGCCAGAATCAATTTATGATTGCCTTGTTCTACACCTATCAGTAACTCCACTTTTTACCTTAATACAGGGTTTTGTAGGGGATCTACCTTTTTTCAAAATAATACCCCACGGATCACATACAAACCGAGCAGTCTCTCCCACAATAATGAAGACTTGCCTTTTGTTGCTGATGTGCTTAATTAACCATGGGAGGAGCAACCTCTTCCCCTAGGCTAGGGAACAAAGAGGGGAAGAAAAATAAAACTCTTATCAGTCACGTGATACATGTACATGTTAACAACTGTCAGAAATTTCTATCTTATTATTTGTTTAAAAATTCGACTAAATTTAACAAATTTAGAATACATTAACATATAACCTTTACAGAAAAATCTGCCAAAATAAATAAATTTTTATACCAAAGCTGAAAAAGAATTCCTGTAAGAAATTGCTGAAAAGAAAGTTTTGACTGCTTCTAAGGACTGAAAAAGAAAACCCTTCTCTTCTCCCACCCACAATGCTTTACCCAAGGGCTTTAAATTTCATTTAGAAAAAAAAATTGAGATATGGATGGGAAACTTGGCTGAAAAAATAGATGGGAATTTTCTGACAGCACGGCAACCTTTTTGTAGAAAGTCCAGTCCGCTCAGGACCATAAACAGGTCACCTACGAAAAAGTTAAAATGGTGACCTACAAACATTACCTGTAAAGAGAGACAAGTCTATCTTTTGTTAAGCTTTATACCTGATCCTCATTAAGATAGTTGGGCAGTCCACCAATGAAGATTTTGTGTGGCGAGTCCTGTACCACAGTTGAAACCACTCCTGTCAATAAAAAACACCTAATTTAATACTAGGCCCTTGACTTTAATATCAGTCAAATTTTGGAAAATATGTATGAAGAAATAAGTGCTACCCTAAAGACTTATATATGAACACAGGGACATGCACTTCTCAATATTTGTAAAGAAATCATTGCTTATGATTACAATGCATCTGCTCTACGTCCAGGAGTAGAAACGATTTTAAAAGATATAATGTATATTCAAAATACAATAAGCTTAGCACCAGCTCGGGACCCAGGCAGTTGACAATGATTCTTTGGACAAAACTTACATTTCCCCTAAAAATAACATATATGTACTACACTTAGATCATAAAATAGCTCAGAAAATCAAGATAAAGCTTTATAAGCAAAGAATACCTGGCACATTGACAGAGGGAGTTTCTGCCATTCCTGGGAGAGGCTGATAATCTCGGGGGCGTCTGATTTTTAATGACTGGCCCTGGAAGTTGATACCATCAAAAGCCATGGCCTGTGTAGTTTCATCAACAGAACGGAACTGAAATAATCAAAAACTACATGACTATTTTTTTTTAATAATAAAATTAGAGGTACTGTGAGCACCAAGTCCACAAAATGATACCCCACACTCACATATGAGTATAATGGCAGTGTGCATTTTTTTCTGCCAGAAATCCCAATATATGTCTGATCAAAACCTTAATAGAAGGTCACAATGGCACTATGTAATAAAGATTCTGGATAAGTCTCATATAATTTTAATCAGCCATACAAGAGGAGTTGCAGAAAAGAAATGGATACACCCAATATTATAGAAAGAATGGTAATGTCCATGTTTTGCTATAAGAAAGCTCAAATATCTGTCCGATCAAAGCCTAAAATAGGAGGTGCACAGTTGCACTATGTAATAAAGATTCTGGGGAAGTCTCATTTAATTTTAATCAGTCATATAGGAGGAGTTGCGGATAAGAGATGGATGCGCCCAATATCATAGAAAGAATGTTTTGCTATGGGAAACCCCAATTATGTGTCTGATCAAAAAAACAGGAGGTCACAATGGTGCCATGTAATAAAGATTCTGTGAAAAAGTGTCATTAAATTTCATTCAGTGGTATATGAGGACTTGTGGATACGAGGTGCTTACCCCTATTTGTGTAATGGACAGACAGAGACGGACACCCCCATCACTATACTACCTTGCTTTTAAGCTGGGGGTATAATGAAATTAAAATATTGATGTACCAAAGCTGTTTGAAACAATCAATAAATCAACAATGTCCTAAAATAAAGAAATCAAAAATTTTACCCCACTGTTAAACATAAAGCTCAAATTTGAATTACTGAATTAAACAGTGGTCACATTTTTTTTTTTTTTTGTATAACACTCTATAAAACCAAACCTCCAAGAAGGCAAAGTTCTTGTCAAGATTGATTTGGACAGCAATGACTGGGCTTCCTTCAGCCTGAGCTAATCCTGTCATCTTCATTTGGTGATTAAAGAAATCCATCATTGCTTCCTAAAATACAAAGATGAAGCAATCAATCCCAGCAGTATTTTAATGTAGTTACATTTTTTTAACATGTCCTGACCAGCTGACAGATACCTCAGTGACACCAAATGGTATGTTGCCCACATACAGTCGTCTAGCCTGTCGGCTGATAGCACTGCCAGCAAAGGGAACTGTTGTATTAGTCAAGGCTACATTAGGCACAGATATAGCCTGTGGAATTTGGCCAGCACCTACAATCATATGAATATACAATATATAAGTATTACATGTATTTATGGTATACTAAACTTGCAAGAACTATGATATGTTTCAAAGTGACATCTATAAATAGAGCTGTTTACTTGAATTGACACATTCATATGTACTTCTCACTTTGCATAGCTTTATACTGCATTGGTGACATATGCTCAAACCCAGCAGGGGGGACATCCCAGTATTTGTAAGGCTTCTTCCTCTTTCTGCCACGCTCCCTTGATCGACTAACATAAAAATGATGTTTTTGTCAAAACTCATACAATGATTTCCTCTCATACATAATAACATTATGTGCAAATACAAAGTATAAAAAAATTGAACACAAGCACTTCCTAATATATATGTATAATTACAAATTAATTATTTTTTGTGCCTTACCTTCTTGATCTTCGCTTTCTTTCCCTATCCTTAGATCTGGATCTTTTCTTTTCTCGACTTCGTGATCTCCGACCTCTAGAACGTGACCTTGAGCGCCTTCTGTTGCTGCCTTTGTCTTTTTCAATCTCTGGTAGACCAAAGAAAAAAAAAAGATTATTGTTTCACAACTAAGTTATAAAAAGGTAAAGTTCACATGATTAATAGCACATTGGTTCTATGTGGTAGTAAAAAAAGAGAAAAATCACTTTCTGAAACAAGTATGTTAAAACAAAGATAGACAGACTGGATATAACTGAGATTTTTTCTTGGAATAGCATGTGCTCCCGCAGAATATGGGTACGACTAATTACATTATAACACTGAAATCAACATCCCCCCCCCCCCCCACCACTACATTAGCATAAATTTTCTGATTTAATTTGTCTTTAAGAGAATCCAGGATTTCAAGTCATTCACTGCAGTTCTGAGGTTACTTGAAGACAATCCCTTCAGAAGGCAAAACTCTAACATTAACTTTTCTAGGCTTTAGTCCAGTGGAACTAGTGCTTATTAACTTTTACTAGTAAGTAGGCATTTTTGTTAGTCCATCAAAACAGGGAAACATGAATATTTTGTAATGATTAAACTAAAAATTAATAGTTCAATGTACTATTTTTACTTTTCTTTGAAATGAAGAAAGCATTTACATTAAGTGTTTTATTTCACAAACTTTTTGAAATCTCATGATCAGCATAATGATTGCAAGTGCTCCTGTCAGACCTTGTTCCCTTTTCTCTTTATTACACTCAAGATGTGTAACATCTTTATTCTAAATCATGGTTGCCAAAATGTTTTACTTACATTTGATCAGTGTATAAATAAGAACTGAATTGACTTGGATTTTTGTAACTACTCATAAAAAAAAAGGAAAGCTAAAAATACATTCAGTGTTTCCCAGCAAAAGTTGCTGAAAATCAGACATGATAATTTATTTATGTTGTTTACCAGAAATTTTATTTGGTCTGTTCAGACCAATCAGCCACAGATTTTATTAGTCCAAATGAAAATCGTATTACTTTAAGTATATTAGTCTGAGACGGACTAATGTTACTGTCGAACCCTGGGAGGATTACTCAACATTGCAGATTTAAGCATGATTAAATTACACCACCTGCAAATAAATGTACTACAAATGCCCAAATGAGAGTTTAAGTATTCCATCTTGTCAGTGTTGATGCAAATAAATCAGTGCAAACCACTCTGTACTATACCAGGTCCAGCACAATCTCTTGATTTAGCTATATAGCTTGAAAAAGCAATATAGCTTTAATAAGCTATTCAAAATAGCTTGATAAAGCTATTTATGTGCAGTTTTTCAGAAAAATGTTTTTTGTAAGAAAAAGACAAAAAGTCGCAAGTATTTGACTATTCATATATGTACTATGGGCTATCAAAACAACAACTGAAATCAAAGATAGTTCTAACATTGTAGCATTTGAATACTTTTAAGCAAAAGATGAATTTCCATTGTTTGAGTAACTGTACACTACCTTGTGTGCGTTGAGGCATGGATAAGTATGATTTTTACATTCATTATTTTCAGAAGAGTTCAAGGTTGAATATTATCACTGCACCAAGGTGCGACTTTTTGTGCATGCTGAGAAAATGACACATTTAAGAAAAAAGTGTGATAAAATAGCTAAAACAAGCTATTCCGAATAGCTTAATAAAGCTATATAGCTAAATCAAGCTATATAGCTTTATCAAGAGATTGTGCCGGACCTGTATACATTTAAAACTGTCTTCCAAACCAGTAGGCACGACCAATTGCACACCTTGTGTATTTATATTTTGCAACGTTCTGATAAAAAAAAATCAGGTGCCCGTGATTTGAAGCTGTTTAGTTAAAACGCAGATGAACATGGAACAGACCTATTCTCTATTGAGAAGTTGATGGCTCGTTTTAATACTCCCCCTCAACTTTTCTACGAAAGGCCTAATAAAAGCAGTTCAGAAATTGACTAAATGAAGAACCAAAACCGGGTCCCACTTCGAGCGGTGTTTTAGGATTGATGCATTATCATAGACATATATTGGGTGCACAGATGTTGTTTTGCAATGGAAATGCAATTAAAAATGCCGATTCTGCTGACTTAAAAAACATTCATCACGGTAGAACACTTACTTGCGATATCTGTGTCACCGGATTCGTTTATTCATTCAAAACTGCGTTTGAACCCGGTTGACCTACAAAAAAGTCTAAAACTTTTTATCCGGATAAATTGGATTAAATGTTTCAGTGTTAAATAGTTATCCGGAGAAATAGTTTTAGACTTTTTTAGAGGTCAAACGCAGTTTTGAATGAATAAACGAATCCGGTGACACAGATATCGCAAGTAAGTGTTCTACCGTGATGAATGTATTTTAAGTCAGCAGAATCAGTATTTTTAATTGCATTTCCATTGCAAAACAACATCTGTGCACCCAATATATGTCTATGATAATGCATCAATCCTAAAACACCGCTCGAAGTGGGACCCGGTTTTGGTTCTTCATTTAGTCAATTTCTGAACTGCTTTTATTAGGCCTTTCGTAGAGAAGTTGAGGGGGAGTATTAAAACGAGCCATCAACTTCTCAATAGAGAATAGGAACAGACCATGATTCCAAATATGTGATAGTTAACATGCCGGCATAATATATATAATTTAAACATGTATTCAATCAATTTGATGTAGTTTTATTAATCATTTAATACAATAAAACTGCATCAAGTGAGAAACAACTACGTGGATTTTATCTGGCTTAACTTTTAAAAATAAAAAAAGTATATGTAAAACGTTTGTGCTACTGCTTTGATGGTATGCATCGATCTGTCCAGTCCTAATTCTTTTCAAGAAAATTTATGAGAAAATCAGTTATTGCTCATTTTTTCAATTAAAACAAAACATCTGTGATACTAACCAGACCTATTTTCTGCAAGCTGACGCTCAAAATCTTGAAAGTCGTTATCGCTCATTGCGTCCTTGTTCTAAACAAAATGGCGTGGCCTATTCCCTATTCCGGAAGCGCGGTGTTATAACAAAAAGCAAGAACAATCCGTAGTTTCCCGGTAAATAGTACGGCATACCAAACGGATCTTCTCAACTCTGCAATAATTATGCCCCGTAATCGAAAATTTGGGGGCATATAGTTTTTGGCATGTCCGCTCATCTATCTGTTTGTCTGTTAATCTGTTTGTCCACAAAAAATGCAACTTTGCCCATGACTCTTGAATTGTTGGTGCTAGGATTGTCAGTGGCGGATTTAAGGGGCGCCCCCCTAAAATTGTCAAAGTTAGCATAAATCATAGTTTCGTCGAGAAAATGTAAAAATGTCCACTCGGTAGACCTAATTTTTACCCTACAAAATCTCTAGAATCCAGGAGCTTCCGGGGGCTTCGCCCTGGGCCCCCACCAGGGCTTCGCTCTGGATCCACTGGGGGCCTCAAGGCGGCCCCCATCTTGAGGCCCCCAGACTCCCTGCCTACTTTTGGCACCCCCTCTAACTTCAATTCCTGGATCCGCGCCTGGTTCTCATACTTCACGTGTATTATAACATGTATAATTCCTTGTGACAAGCCCTTTCTTTGATTACCGTCATATTTGACCTCTTTGACCTTTACCGTGGACTATGACTTACCTTTTCAAAATTTTACCGAACTTTAACCTTGGCCATAACTTCTGAACGGTGCTAAGGCTTTTATATTTCACACGTGTATTCCATGTGACCATGCAGACATCGATTTCTCTGGATACGAACATTTTTTATCTCTTTGCCTTGACCTTCAAGTTTGACCTATTTTTGAAGAAAACTTTAACCTTGACCATAACTTTTGAACGGTTTGTGCTTATATACTAGTAAATATAACACATGTATACTCCTTGAGACAATGCAACATCCTACTTAGGGACTAAGCACAAGGAGCACACGTTGGGTGTGACCGTTCGGCAGAGGATGCTCACTCCTGATCCCACCTCTGATGTTTTGTATTATTTAAAGGGACTTTTGAGCTTGAATACTGCGCTATCTCCATATATTTCATCTATAAACCACAAATCAAACCTGTTCATTACATATAAGTCAAAGTTTCTATTTATGAATTGGAAACAAATCAATGCATATTCATGTTCATCACCCTTATATAGACTTTGAAAATTTCTAATTCCCTTTTTTTCAGATTTTTTTTCTGGCCATCTAGATAATATACTCCTTGGATTATTTCCTTTACAGATCAAAAGTCAGACCCATTTTTACAAAAGTTATGACCCTTACTTTCAAAAGGAGATGGGCGAACATAGCGTACACAAAGCCTATAGCTTCTGATATATAAAAATCACGTTCAGTTTGTGAATTTAGTATTTAGAGTAAAATTTTCATTATTGAAATTTACGAAATTATGATAAAGAAAACTTTTCTGAGGCAAATTTTCTCGGCAAAATTTATTCTTTTATTTAAAAAAAAAATAATGTGGTATTCGTGAGGTTCGAACCCTAGCAAAAAAAATCCTGAGTATCATTTTCTTTCGAGACTAGCACGCTAACTACTAAAATACACAAGTCCTGATGAAGAGCGGCATTTAAATCATGTTTGTGATATGACCCTTAATGGACTTTCAAGTATTTCTCGAAAAGGGGCGAATGTTGTGTCATAAAAGTATATTCTTAAGGTATAATGGGTCTTTGCTCCATATTTTTGGTAAACAAAAATTGTATATATTTATGCAAACTTTGAGGATTAACTTTCAAAAAAGTGGAGCGAAGACCCACACATATCGAAAAATAGTGTTATAGTATGAAGAAATGACTCTTTTTGCCCGCTTTAGTGTGTTTATAATATTTCAAAGGCAGATAATTTCAATCTTTGAGAGATTTTTTCAAATTGTTGAGATTTTACTTAAAGTATATTTTAATGTTAGATGAAATATCAAGGAAAATTTTGATATAATTGAAATTTAATTTTTCACCTTCATGTTTGTCACACTATAGGCTTTTCGCTCGTCATGTTCACCCATCTCCTTTTTAATTCTTCACCGTTTTGGATCTTTTGTTGCTTGAAAGTGATCACCATTATAAGCAGCTTAAGTATGCTCACCTTGTGGTATAGACAAGAGGCACACATTGCTCACCTGAGTCACTTTAGCCCTGCTGTTCTGCATCAGATTTATTCCTATGTAAAATTTTGATTTCCTATTGTGGTCCCACCCTATAAACAGGGGCCAAGATTTGAACAAAAATTAATGAATCAAATAATTTGAACAAATTACAGTCTACCTTCCACATGTTTCAACTTCTTTGTTCAGTGGTTCTTGACAAGAACCACAATCTTGAGTAGTATATTTCAATGTAAAACTTTGATTCTCTACTGTGGCCCAACCCTATCCCCAGGGGACATGATTTGAACAATTTAGAATCTTCACTACCTCATAAAGCTTTCAACTTTTCTGACCCAGTGGTTCTTGGAAAAAAAAGATTTTTAATGACCCCACCCTATTTTGCCTTTTCTTGTTCATCTCTCCTTGGAAGGGGGGGGGGGGGGGGGTTGGCCCTTCATTTGAACAATCAAGAATCTCCTTCATCAAGGAATGCTTTGAATCAACTTTGGTTAAAATTGGCTCAGTGGTTCTTGAGATGTTGAAAATGTGAAAAGTTTACAGACGGACAAGGCCAGACAATGGGTGATAAAAAAAGCTCACCTAAGCTTTCAGCTAAGGTGAGCTAATAACAGATTCCAGAAAACAAAAGCAGTATTATATTTTTTGAGCCATTTCCACCCACTTTTTTCACACTCTCGGAAACTTGCATGTCACGTGGGGTATTCATGTCACCTGGACACATACTAGTAGTTTATTAATGAACCTTTCACAATAACTACTAATCCTGCAAATACCTTGTCTACCTTGGTTAATTCAGTCTCAACATACAATTACACCTGGGTTATGGGCAGAATACAGTTCAATAGTGCGTTTAAATCTCATCGATGTCTTCTAGGGCTGATCCTCTAATTTAGGGGATCATACTAAAGTTGAACTTCAGTATCTCGAACACTGATATCTGGAATGCCATTGATATGTCAAAGTGATTTGGAAGTCCCAACCACTTATTCTTTAAGTTTTTTACCCTGTATATCTCATATCCTAGGATATCTGGAAGTTTTTTCTCGGTCTCATTGAGTTCCAGATAACGAGGATTGACTGTATAAATAGCATACTATTAAGTACTCTAGCATACTCTGTTTAGTAGGGCTGCAGGTAATTATGGGGGTCAGTTATATAACTATGTATAACGGGTAATTGTAGCTGTAAGCACTATTTCCTGTATAATAGTTACAAAGTAATATTTTACACTAAATAGGTAGGCATGGGTTCCCAGGTTATCAAGTAACTTTTAGTGTCCAAATTACTACTACTGGTGCAAGTTTTCCTCCCACTCCAATGAATCCAAGCCAAAAGGAGGTATCTGCTTGTATCTAATTAACACTGCACAAATTTTCTGAATCACTGCAAATCAAGGAGCTCATAATTTAATGTTTTTTAAATTTTTTATTTAAACAGATGGAACGTTTTCAATGAAACTGAATGTCCAATGGTTCCACAATCTAGTTCCAGTTCTCAGCAGCAGTGCCACCCCATTCTGGAGCACCAGAAGTTGGGGCGGGGCCAGAGGCAGCTGCTGACCAATCATCAGTGGTGGCTGACCAGTCCTTGGTGGTGCCTGAAGGCATGAAGGACTGAGGCTGGGCTACAGGCATGGCCTCAGAGGCCCAGTCAGTGACCTCCTGGGTTGGGAGTGGCTGTGTGGGGATATCACTTGGGGCCCATTGATCCTGACTCTCATCCTTCACAGGTGCTTTTTCAATAGCTCCCTGTTCTTCCTTTTCAGCCTACAATAAAAGAGATTATGAATATTCCATACTAACAAATAATCATGTCCATATTAAAGTAACATTCTACAAAATAATACACATTTTAATTCTACACTAACACATATAAAATGAACCTTACATATCAGTTTTCTATACTGGAAATGCTCAAAGATTGCAAAGATATGTAAATACATGTATTTTTATGAATCTAATCCTCATTATTATTACTTCCTTTGGGTATAAATGTACTTTTATGTTTGAACTTAGTCCTCAATATGATTACCTCCTCTGGGTCTCTGTAGAAGTACAGATCCACCATCACATCCCATGGGTGGTCACGGCTGATGGTTCCACGCAGACGCAGAACTTCACGAGCCAGCAGCCACCACATCAGACCAACAGAGTGTAAGCCCTGTACAAACCAACAAATCCTTAAGTTGTTGTACATTTATAGAGTCATAATCAGCAGTCTAGTGAAATTTCAACTGTTTTACCTTGTTATTGCAGGGAATAGCAATGTCCACATATCTAAGCGGGGAGTCGGTGTTGCAGAGGGCAATGACAGGGATATTGACGTAGGAAGCCTCTGTGACAGGCTGATGGTCAGTGCGGGGGTCTGTCACAACCAACAGACGAGGCTCACGGAAAGCAGCCTGTTAAAAGTTAAAAATTAGTGAAATCACAAAAATATCAAAAGTACAATCAATGTATTAAGGTCTCAGTCAATTCGGATATTCTATTTTTGTACTTGAATCTGATTGGTGAAGGTTCCTGGTGTGAAGCGACCAGCAATGGGCGTGGCCCCTGTGGCAGATGCAAACTTCAAGACAGCACGCTGACCATATGGCCTAGCCGAAATGACACACACATCTGCTGGGTTTTCAATGGCTGCAATGGCACGTGCAGCCAACAAAAGCTTTTCCCAAGTTTTTCTTAGGTTCAGAATGTAAACACCTACAAATCATATATACTTGTCTTAAATATATATATATATATCGAATAAATCAAATAAAATTGATTTTTAAGTAAAAATCAAATATTTCTTGACTAAAATCTTTAAACATAACACATACCATCAGGCTTCCTCTTGAAAACATACTGTTCCATCTGGTAGTCAACATTTGTGGCTCCTAAGTGGGTGTTACAAGCCAAAA